GAGAAAACCTATGAGGACATGGTTGTGCCAGGCTAGAAGAAGGAGGTTCAGCTTATGAAATTGGGCTACCTCACTGAATTCCTACTGGACCACTTATTATGTGACCTTAGATGTTGGGTAGCCTCTTTATGCCTTAATATCTTCCTTTTTGTCAGTTGGGGATAATAGTACCTACCTCATAGAGTTATTGTGAGAATTAAAATAATACCTGAAAAGCACAGTATAATATAGTGATTAAGAACATACACTCTGGAGCCAGACTGCCCGGGCCCGAATCCTTGCTCCATCACTTAGACAGTCTTTCTGTTCCTTAGTCTCCTCTTCTAAAGAATGAGAACAAGAAGCAGCATGTACTAGTCCCTCATTTTTAAAATTTTTTAATTTAATTCAATTTATTTCATTACAGGGAATTGAACCCAGGTGTGCTCTATCTCTGAGCTACCTTCCCCAGCCCCCCTCCCCTTTTATTTTTGAAACAAGGTCTAAGTTGCTGGGGCTGGCCTCAAACTTGCTGTCCTCTTGCCTCAACCTCTTGAGTCACTGGGACTATAGGCGTGTACTACTGCACCCAGCCATGCTCTCAGTAAAAAGAAAAAAGAAGGATTGATGAAAGAATTAAATTTCTTAAGATGTGTAAAATACTTAGGCTAGTGTCTGGAAACTGATGAACTCTGTTTACAAAGTCCTAATTTTATTAAAGGTTTAGATCAGATCTGACAGAATACACACTCCAAAAAATAGGTGCTCTTTTACAGGGAATTCTTATTTTTCAACAAAATTATTTAAGTAGAAAGAAGAAAAGCCCTGAGGTTTAACTAGAGGAAAGCAAGTTTGAAATGCTCTTTGTAGAGAGCAGGAGTGCGAGCTGACTGAAGACACCCGGCGTGTGGGCTGGCGGCACGGAGGGCCTCTGCAGTTGGTGCCACTATTGTGTCACACAACCGCTCAGGTGCATGGCTTTCCTCCAGCAAGTTACCTGCCCATGCTTAAGCTTAGAATTGATGGTGGGATTCGTTCAAGGTTGTGGTTTTTCCAGGCAGATTCAACCAACAAGATCGAAATGATAGGTCCTGAAGCCTAAATAGAAAGGAAAGGAAAGAATGGGTGAGGGAGGAGTCAGAGATGGGGAAATGGAGAGCGTGTTTGTACCAATGAGATCAAGAATGTGTTATGTGGGGATATTTGAGGAAGCAGATTGAAAAGATAATAGTGTCTATTCAAAAATGAACATTCATATGGCCGTTTTGGTGGTAGAGGAGTTTTAGGTGGTAACCAGCAAGTTAAAATAGTTATATGAAAAAGCTAAAGGTGGAACTACAAGAGTATAAACAGATAATTAGGCATCTGTCAAAGGGCTCATATCCTGAGGCCAGGGGTTAGTAGAAGAGCACTTGCCTACTATGCATGAGGTTCTGGGTTAGATCCTTAGCACCTCAAATTAATTAATTAATTATAGAAGGAGGTAAGGGGAGTCATTGGGATTATACAAAACACCTACAAATCACAAGCAAAAAGAGTCATTCTAATAGAAAATGGTCAAAGAATTTGCAGACATATAACAAAAGAGGAATATCAAAATGTCCAAGAAACATGAAAAGGTATGCAAATAAACACCACAATATAATGCTACTATGAAATGACAAAACTAAGAGCAACTAAAACTCTTATGAAGAATTTTTGGGAGTATGACATAACACAGCCACTTTGGAAAAGTAGCAGTGTCATTAAAGCTGAGCATATACCTATCCTTGACCCAGCAAATCCTCTCCTGGATGCACATATACCCTATGCAAATGCATGTTTGTGTGTACAAAAGACAGGTAAGCAAGAATGTTCACAAGAATGTTTTTGTTTGTTTGTTTGTGTTTGTATTTATGGACGGACAGAATGCCTTTATTTTATTTGTTTATTTTTATGTGGTGCTAAGGATAGAACCCAGTGCCTCACTGTGCTAGGCAGGTGCTCTACCACTGAGCTACAGCCCCAGCCCAGGAATGTTTTTCTTAATGGCCAGAACTGAAAGCAGCTCAAATAAATTCTGTATGTTTATACAACAAAGTGTGAATGGAAAAATTACAATAATATGTGTGTTTCATAAGTACAATGTGTGAAAGAAGCCAAATAAAAGAGTACATATGTATGATCCCTTTTATTTTTATTGTTTTTTTAAATTGAAAAACAACAAAACTAATCTGGGGAGCTAGGCGTTAAGACCAAGATCTAAGGTGGGCCCTTGGGGTTCTCCTGGAGTACCACTCATTTCTTGATCTAATTTTGGTTATACTTCCTGTGTGAAAATGTACAGATTTGCTGATGATTTATGCATTTTTATCTGTTTTAACCTCCCATTTTAAAGTTGCATTAGTCTTAGGTAACAAACTACAACCTAACTTAGTATGTAAACCAAGCAAAAGCCTACCTTAGGAGTATACTCTTGTAACAAATAGCTGAGTCTACTGTGATTGCACAGAAGCTGAGCTTGTATCAATCATGGGTGGCCAGCAGATTAAAATAAGGCAAAAAAAAAAAAAAAAACCCACTGTGAGCTGTAACCAATTAATCTTTGTCTACATGTTGTTTATGTTTTCTGCCTATAAATAATTGACCACTTTGAGCCCAGAAATTCTTTGAATTAATTCTGGTTTTGAGTGCTGCCTGGTTAAGAAAATGTGAATAAAATAAACTTAAGATATTTAAACTGAAAAAAAAAAAAGTTGCATTAGATCAGAAGGCTTGAGAATTGGGGGAATGATAGTTCATGTTTTCCACTTGCCACATTTCCTAGAATTATGATTTCATAATTAAAAAAAAAGTATAGGTAGTGCTCGCTTCGGCAGCACATATACTAAAATGGGAACGATACAGAGAAGATTAGCATGGCCCCTGCGCAAGGATGACACACAATTTGTGAAGTGTTCCATGTTTTTAAAAAAAATTGTTTAGATAGGTAGGTAGGTAGGTATTCATTACAAACCGGAAATTTTATCAGTCTGACTTCTAACCTTCTTAAATTGTATGTTCAGGACAGTAAAGAATGTTCAAAAGTAACCATTAAGAACCTCAGTCAGTATATGTATGTCAAAGTAGTCATTAATTTTCTTAGATTCTGCCACTTCACACACACTATGGCAGGTTACTGATGAAATATACATATAAAGAAAACTGTAGTTTGGGCTAGGGTTGTGACTCAGTGGTAGAGCGCTTGCCTAGCACGTGTGAGGCACTAGGTTCGATCTTCAGCACCACATAAAAATAAATAAAAGATATTGTGTCCGTCTACAACTATAGTTTGGAGCTTTGTAAAATCTTTTTAACTTTTCTCAAAGTGATACATTGTCCTCCTGTAGATCAAATCTGGTGCTTTTAAAGTTTAAAGAGAGTTTTATGTGATCCAGCTGTGAAATATAAGAGGCAAGTTTGAAGGCGCTTGAGTGAGCATTAGTTGCAATTGATGCCTGTTGCTTTGACTGTATGTTGGGGTCCTTGGTGCTGCTGTAGTAAGCTTCATCTCTGAATAGAATTTGTTTTGTTTAGTCTACATTGTGTTTCGATGGATGACTGAAAACCTTATACTTTCATGGAATATTGCTTCATAACTCTCCCCTTTTCTGCTATTTTCAAATCACATGAATCGTATCACATTTAGGCCATCTGGAAGGCCTGAATGGGATGAGATAACAAGCTGCCATCTCTTAGAGTGACTCTTGAAAAGCTAATATTCATTTAGAGTTTATTTTTAATTTTCCTTTTTATTTTAAAATTTCAAACTTCATTACAAAATGGTTGTTAACATCTCTGAGACAAAAGTATCTTTGATTCACAGTTTCTTTTAGCCTGAACATTGGGTCATAAGGAGGAGATTCATGCTGTGCTACCAGAAGAATCTGCCAGAGACTCAGTTCTGTCTTAATTAAGATAATAAGTATAGCAGGTCCACTCTTGTTTTTAAAATATGTTGGTTAATCTGCTCAACAAGCCATTCAGCTTGGCGTGTATTTCATAGGGAAATAGTGAAACATAGATTCTTATAGTGCCAGATGAATACTTCAAAATAAATGTATCTTTGCATGCCTAGAATGTGTCACACTTGTTACACATTTGTCAGAAATGTTTCTCAGTATAGCCACCTTTCTGAGGAATTGGTGGGGGGAAAAATGGATAATGTGTGCCTGAGGTGTTGCAAAAGAGTTGTGATTAAAAATGTGTACCCACACTTACTCACACTCTTCCACTATGGATATGGACAAATTTGGCATTTATATGTTGGATAATAGGTTAGTCAGAGTCCCTTAAAAGTCTTTTTCAGTAGTTGGATTCACTAAATGCAACTTTGTTCAGGGCTAGTGAAGGAGGAGGTGGCCCCTGGATTGCATAAATTAGGGAGGAAAGTACACATTTATTTCAGAATAAGAAGCTACTTCAATTTTTAGGCAAATTGACTATCATCACTAGGTTCTCCTCTTTATAATGTTGTGATAATACTTTGTCAACTAACTGGTCATGTATTCTAGGATAGACTGAATGGAATATAAAAATGTTTCCTCCTTTTATTTCCTTGAGAGCCTGAGATGAAAGACCAAAGGTGGAGTAACCTCTACAACTAAGTACAATGGACTCTTTGTTTTCAAAATAGAAAAGTCTCAGAAATACAAAGCTCTATAAGAATCTAAGAATAACGGTACTGTTTTTACATGACCAGTTATCCTAATATATCTCCATGTGATGGGGGGCAGGTCACTTGGTGTTTCTGTGTCTGTGCCTCCTGTTAATGTGCTGTAAGTATTCAGAAGATCCAAATTTTGTTTGTAGACTAAAGCATTTTGAACATCGATAATACCTTTGGTGTCTTTTTTTTTTTTTTCTGTCTCTCTCTTTGAAGGGGAAAATTATGTTTGCTCATAAATAAACCTAGGAAGTGGTAAAGAAGGACTTTATTTTTCATAGAATTATGAAGTAATTGTGTTTATTTTTCATTCAGTGTTATTTGCTTCTTTCTTTAGCAGACAGAAGGTGGAGCACAGACAGACGGCCAGCAGTCACAGACGCAGAGTAGTGAAAATTCAGAGAGTAAATCTACCCCTAAACGACTGCATGTCTCAAATATTCCTTTCCGCTTCCGGGACCCTGACCTCCGGCAGATGTTTGGGGTAAGTTTCTAAAGTCCTTTTGAGGATTTTGTAATTATAATAGAATTTAATCCACCAGATATGTTATTAATCATTAATATATTAGGATAAAACTACAAGAGATTGAAGAAGATCCAGAGGTAAATCAGTATTTTCTTTCTTTTTTTTTTTTTCCTCGTGGTGCTGGGGACTGAACACGGGGCCTTACACATTCTAGCGGGTGCTCTATCAGTGAGCTACAGCCCCAGCCCTGTAAGTCAGTATTGTCATCTATCTTTTTTTTTTTTTTTTAAGATAGAAGAGAGAAAGAATTTTTTTTTAATATTTATTTTTCAGTTTTCGGTGGACACAACATCTTTATTTTATTTTTATGTGGTGCTGAGGATCAAACCCAGCGCCCTGCGCATGCCAGGCAAGCGCGTTACCACATGAGCCACATCCCCAGCCCCTGTCATCTATCTTTTTCTGCCACCCAGTCTGCTGTAGACTGACTGCAGTGTGGCTGGGAATGAGGTGTTTCTTGGACCACGAGACTTCCCGTACTGAAACCAGGATGAGATGCCACCTGCCCACATACGAAGCTTAGTAAACATTATTATTATTATTATTACGCTTGGTTTCACCTAAAAGAGAAAACATACACTTTGGTTTTTTTGTTTGTTTGTTTGGTTTGGTTTGGTTTGGGTTTTTTTGTTTTGTTTTGTTTTTTGCTTTGTTGTTGTTGAGACAGTCTCGCTATGTTTCCCAGGCTGGTCTCAGTCAATCCTCTTGAGTAACGGGGACTACAAGCGTGCACCACTGAATCCAGCTAAACATACATGTTGTTTTAGCACAGTGATTCCTAAACTTACCTGCACATTAGAAGTCCCCTGAGTAGCTTAAAAAATATTGATGCCTGTGTCCCACATCCAAAGACTGGGATTTAACTGGCTTGGGTATAACTTGGGCCTACATGGTTTTTTTACAAGATCCCCAGGTGTTTCTATTGTGTGGATAAGTTTGGGAACTGTTGGGCATTTTTTCTGTCACATTCTTAGCTCTTTACCTTCCCTGTAAGCCCAGCACATTATTGCCTTCCTCTCATCTCATGCTTTCAACCCCAGGACTGTGGTTCAGAAATGTATTATTGTTGTTTGCTACCCTGACTTGGCAATATCATGGTGTAAAGAATATAGGTTTAGGGGTGGTTTGTTAAGGTGGAAAAGGTGTAGATTTGGGCATCAAAGATCCTGGGATCGAGTTCTGTTTGATTATGACCCTAGGAAAGTCATGTAACCTCTTTGAACTTGAATTTCATATCTAAAAATAGTGATAGTAATCTCTATCTTGCAGAATGTTGTGAATTAAATGGAATAATATCCTTTTTTTTTTACTTCCTTATTTATACTTAGTAGTATCAATACCATTATCTAAAATGAGATGTAGAGGGTTATACTGCTACCTTTCATGTATTCCCTTCAACTGTTGACCTCCTCCCAAATCTCCAAAAGCAAAGTGTAATTTAAAAATTCATGTTATGGGGCTGGGGTTGTGGCTTAGTGGTAGAGTGCTCACCTAGCAAGCACAAGGCACTGAGTTCAATCCTCAGCACCACGTAAATGTAAAATAAAGATATTGTGTCCTCCTAAAATGTAAAAATAAATTTTAAAAAAATCATATGTTGTTGGAAGTAAATGGGTTTTAAGAGTCTTGATTTTTTTGTATTGTTGCCTATTTTAATTTGATCAAACTTTCAACTTGACCTAGGACCAAGTAATAGTCAATAGTTTATTAAAAATTTCATTAGGATAGCTGCCTAGTGCCTTATTAGAAAAGGAGAAACCCTGCAGTAATCTTGTGTCCACTGTGTGGTGACAGGACACTGGAACAAAACTGTTTCACTTTCATCTGGCTTCCTGTGTTTGTCTCCTACAGAAGAGAAGGCCAGGGTGGTTTTTTAATGCTGCTCTTGAAGTCCTTAAAGAGCTTTTACACAGAAAATGGTAACTGGCCGTTTTCCATCTTGACAGAAAAGACTGCAACAAAAAGTAGAAAGAACAGCAAATAAGGAGACACTTCCCAAGAGCATGAATTATTGGATTCCCTTTGCAACCTTCCAACACAGATGAAACTCTTAGTCTTTGGAGTCTGTAAGAAGGGAGCACGTTCTCATCTGTCAGATGTGTATTCTCTTGAGTCAGAAAAACAGTGTCCGTTGAACTGCCTAGGTCAGTTAGGGATTTCTTGAAATGTAGTATGCCCTTCCCATAAGGTTAAAATGAGAAAGAAATTTTTCCTTACAGGGAACACCTGTTGCTTTTTCCCCCCCACATGGTTAATGCCTGTGACTTAGAAAGTCAGTGGCATTGGTGAAGAGCAGAGATTCCATGCACCATTTTATTAGCTCTGTATACCTGACAGCTTATTTTTCTCTTTCCTTGATTTTTCTAATTTTCTGTTCAAAGATGAAACCAGAATCAGGCTTAGATGTCTTCTTCTATAAAACTTGGATTCTTTTTTTTAATTGATTTTATTTTTTTAAATACACGACAGCGGAATGCATCACAATTCTTATTACACATATATACCACAATTTTTCATATCTCTGTATATAAAGTAAGTTGACACCCAATTCATGTCTTCATACATGTACTTTGGATAATGATGTCCATCACATTCCACCATCCTTGCTAATCCCCTGCCTCCTCCCTTTCCCTCTCTCCCCTCTTTAGAATTCATCTATTTAGAATTCATCTATTCCTCTCATGTTTCCCTTCCCTAAAAACTTGGATTCTTAATACATGTTTTTTGATAAAGATAATAGTAATTCAGTCCAGTAGAAAAGCATAATCTCTGTTTTGCTCCCCACCCCCACCCCACACATACACACACACATACACACACATTTTTAAAGGTCTGGCTTGGAATCCAAGTGAAATAAGTTAATGGGACATGAGCCCAGTACTCTAAGGGAAGTGTAAGCCAAAAAGATAACCTGGAGATTCCCTGCACATTCCTTCAATTCAGCCTATCCAAGTACTAACTAAACAGTTCTGTCCCTTAAATCTGCCTCCCCTAGAATAAGGTTGTGCTTTGTGTAACTTTCTAGTAATGGCCAGATAGACTTTGGGTCTTAAGTTCCATTTGGTTTTAGGGTGTTAAGATATTTATATAATTACTAAACAAGAGTTTACCTAAAATATTCTTGATGTTTGTGGCAGAAAAGTTGAAGTGGCAAATAAGTGAAATCATCCTTAATGTCAAAAATGTATGGTGGAATGGCATGTAGCCTATAGGAATGATAACACAGATATATATTTGTTGATTTTGATAGTTGTTCATAGTCTATTGCTAAGTTTAAAGAAATATGTGGAATGTATCTGATACAGTTATTTCTATCTGTGTGCCTGAAAAAAGCCTAGAAGGCCATATACTAAAACACTAATAAGATAGTAGGATTCGTATAATCTTTTTTCAGTTTTCTTGCTTTCTTTTTGTTTATATTTTCTAATTTTTATACAATGAATATGGTTTACTTGTATAAATTTCTTTTTAAAAAGGAGGAGGAAGCCAGGCATGGTGGTGCTTACCTGCAATCCATGCTGAGGGAGGTGGATAGCAAGTCCAAGGCCAGCCTCAGCAACTTAGACCCTGTCTCAAAATAAAAATAAATGAATGAATGAAATGAAATGAAATAAAAAGGACTAGGGATGCAGCTGAGTTAAAGGGCCCATGGGTTCAATCCCAGTACCACAAAAAGTGGGGGGAAACAACCTTCAATAGCTTATCCTACTTAGTGGGATTTACTTTCCTTTTTTTTAGTATTGGGGATTGAACCCAGGGGCACTAAACCACTGAGCCACACGCTCAGCCCTTTTACATCCTTAGTTCTTTTTATTTCATTCATTCATTCATTTATTTTTATTTCGAGACAGGGTCTCACTAGGTTGCTTAGGGCCTGGCCGAGGTGCTGAGGCTGGCTTTGAACTTCCATTCCTCCTGCCACAGCCTTCCAGTCACTGGGATTACAGACATGCACCCAACACGCCCAGGCAGGATTTACTCCTTAAAACTGAGACATTAAAAAATTAGAGGGGTAATTAAAAATCTATATGTGTAGAAGTGCATCAGTAGGGCGTCACTGTAGTGTCTTCACACAGTGGCTGCGCTTAGAAGAAGGGTGGCGCTTAGCGAGGGAGTTGAGGAAGAAGGGACAGGGAGATGCCATCAGCTCAGAGAAAAAAAAAAAAAAAAACAGAGACTGGTATTGAAACCCACCAGTAAATTTAAAAAAAAAAAAAAATGGTTATTGATAAATACCAGTTCAAAGAGGAAGAAAAAAAAACAATTTCTTTCTCAGAAGGAAATAAAACCTGTGGATAAAAGGCTGACTATAAATAAATGTTTTTGCTTTTGTCTCTGCAGCAGTTTGGCAAAATCCTAGATGTAGAAATAATCTTTAACGAGCGTGGCTCTAAGGTAAGCTCTATTTCAATATCAAGTGTGCTCAATATCTTTTTAAATTTTGTTTTATTTTAAACATTAGGTATTCAGAAAGCATGAACCATTTTTCAAGTCTTCATTAAGGTATTTTAAATGCCCACCTTGGGTTAGATTATCTCTAAACATAAGTTGGAAAGGAGAGTGCACTAGAGAGGATAGGATGAGTGAGATGTGGGTCCTTGAGCGGCCTTAGAGTTGACCTAGGTCTTCTTAGTTTAAAGGAAGAGAAAGCCTGAAAAAAATTCTTCTTTAAGAATTAAAATTAAGAATTCCATCAGAACAATTCGGCTTTTTAAATTCCAACTTCAAAATGGCTTATATAGGGCAAGTTTTAATGTTGAGTTATTCATTCCACTTTGATACATTTCACAAAGCTTAAACAGTGAGTAGTGACTTTGGAATTCACTGTGAACCCATCTTTTTTTTCTGTGAGTTATATCCAGATGGGCCAGCTTCAGGACATGGAGTCTCTTCAATTACAAATACAGTGAGTTAGCTTTGTACCTAAGAATGAAAGAAGCAACAGGGTTTAAGTCAGTGTATGTGTTCTTTTCTAAATATGTTCTGCATAAAAACTGAGATGTTCATTAAAATAATTTTCCTATTAGCAGTTTTTAAATTAATTTTTATTTGGTCACCTCTGTTGAATTTTAAAAATAGCTCTTGGCTGTGATTAAATCTCCTAAGAAGGTGATTTGAGAAAAAGCCAAATACAGCCAGGATAAATCAATTACTGTTTACCTCTTCTTCTATTTCCTACTCCAAATTTGACCATGCTTTGGGAATTGATAACATATATACAGTTGTATGTACCTCCTGACCCCATCAGTACTACAATAAATGTATACTCTGTTCTAATGATTATTATTCCCTTCCTTTGAATGTAGCAATGTTAAAAGTGTTTTAATTTGACCATGACAATTATTTGTTAAAGAGGTAATTATACTCTAAGCTTCCAGTTTTCAATTAAAACAAAAAAGAAATTAACGTGTCTATACAGAACTTTCTCCAGCCCTTAACTTGGTAAGTATTTTTTAAAGTGAAATCTATTAACTATCAACCAATAAAACTATGTATGATTGTTATTTACACACAATAGAGTTTTATTTCTTTGTTGTATAGTTTACATTTATATTTTGTGAAGTTTTTAGCAAATAGGTGGGAAAATAACTGTGGTTTGGAGGCAGGAAGCATATGAATGTAAAATAAATATGTGAAGATTATTGACCATACTGTTTATCTGAAGTAATAGTCTAGATATTTTTGTTTTTAAGAGCATGCTTAAAATAGTTTTAACAACTGGAAGCCCAATATAGTTCCAGCAATACTGAGGAACTTGATTAAACACTGAGAGAAATTAATGAGTGCTTTTCTTTTTCTGAACCAAGTTTAATTTTTCACTTCTTTTGTACATTTGGGTTAACCATAAAATTAGAACATGTGCAACTAGCGAAAAGGAGTTTAGGTGATCTTATTGTTTTGATTAAGAATTGCACTGATGGGGTTGTGGCTCAGTGGCAGAGCGCTTGCCTTGCACATGTGAGGCACTGGGTTCAATCCTCAGCACCACATGAAAATAAATAAACAAAACAAAGATATTGTATCCGTGTATAACTAAAAAAATTTTTTTTTAATTGTGCTGACTTTTTTTTCCCCTCTCTCTTTTAACCAAGTGCTTTTCTATACAGAAATTAGCATTATTGAAAGTTTTTTGGAAAAACTAGTTATAAAATAAGTCTGAGATTAGTAGTACTTACATGTAAATCAGTGTTTAATCAAATTGCTACCAAACAAAAAAGCAACTCTTTATCATATCTTATTTTTTGTGAGACTCTCCAGCATTTTAGAATGTAGCCATTTGAAAACTCAGGTAAGCAGAGTGACACTGCCACATCCACCCCTCTTGCTGCCAGTCTTCTACCTCCCCAGCTCTCTGCTCTAGAGCAGAGTAGCTGTTCTTCATGAAATAGCTGCTTCCCTGCTGTCCTTTTCTCCTTTTGATCTTCATGTTCTAGATTTGGCTTCCCCGGATTAAGGAATGGCTGTATATATCCAATACATGCAGATATATATATTTAAATTAATTAATTTACTGAAACAGAATTTAGAAAATGATTTTATAAGTATTTATAGCTTTATTGATTCTCTAAACTTTACCAATCATGACAAAATAGTAACACAAATAAGAAGATAATGCCTCGATAGAGCAGCCACATGTTCTGGTTTATCCAGGCCAGCCCCACTTCACACCTGTTGTCTTAACACATTATTAATAATAATTCCCCCTGTTCCTACAGAATAGCTGTTTGAACCATAAACTATGATGTCACTCTCCTAGTAGATCCTTGGATTAGCAACTTAAAAAGCATTCTTTTAAAATTAAACATGTCCCTTAATGCAAAGTAGAAAGAAAAACATGTAGTTCACTAAAGAGACTGCCAGGGGCTGTTCTCATATACTTTGGTCCAGTCTTTTGTCTCATAAAGAATCTTAAACAGCACCCTAAGTAACGTCATTCAACCCCAGTATTCTTGATCTTGCAGTTCTTTGCTAGAGTCTTTTAATGACTAAGAATTTTTTATTTTTACCTTTCAGAGGTTGATTCCATTGTTGAACCCAAGATTTCCACCCTTCTGCTTACTATCACCCAGCCACCTCACAATTTTGACAATATTTACCAAGTTTACTAAATAAAGAAATGGCAGTTCTTCACCTCTTTACACAGTGTTGATCATTAGGTCCCAACTTAGAGAGCACAGCAACGGTTACTGATATTTCCAGCGAGTTTTGATGAAAATGTTCTCATTGATTCTCTCAGATGGATTTCTGGCCATGAGATCTGGAATTAGATTGGGCTTCAGTTAAGGCTATTAGGATCTCAGACACAAGTAATGTGCTGTAATTTCTTGCCTATTACCCTGGGTTCTGATTTCATGCCAAGGGAAATTAGTTATTTCTTTCAAACTGTGGTTGATACACTGTTTTTGAAGTTGTGCTAAGTAGACCTTTGTGATTTTCAGCAAAATTGACAGGTAATGCTAATGTGAAATGTTTTCCGTTATACTTGAAACTGAATTAACAGTGCATGTTATTTCCAAAGGACTTAGTTTACTTTCCTTTTGTTTCCATTTTATGGGTTTTATTTTTATTTTTATTTTATTTATTTTTTAATTTCTGTGTTCTGGCCATACCCAGGAGATCCGTCTGCTTTTGATTTCTCCCTTAAAAGTTACATGGTAAATTTTCTTTCTCATTCTTCTGAGATGGAAAAATTCAAAGATTATACAAATTAAAAATATGTTTCCAATGCTCATCCTATTGCTTGTTATTTATTGCAGCCTGAGGCCAGACTAAAAAGGTGACAGTTACTCGGCTACTATAATGTCCTTGATGATAAATGGATGTCAAGGCAGGTGATGAAATTGCTGTCCCACTCATTAGAGGTTTTAACCACAGCCATACCCTAATAATCCATTCCTTGATTTCCTTCAGACATCCAGGATCTCTGTAAATCCCTAATGTAACACTGGTGTGTTTAAATCATGAATATAGAATTGTTAACATAGACTTACAGAACTGAGAACTTTAGCAAGAATGTGCAGACCTGCTCACCCAGGTCATGCATTGGGAATGGCGGTCCAACTGAGATGTGCTCTTAAGTCCACGCTGGGTTTCAAAGATGTAGCACAAAAAAAAAGAATGTTAAGGACCTCACAAATAATGTTTTTATATTGTTGCCATACTGAAATGATAATACATTGTACATATTAGGCTAAGTAAATACTCTATTAAAACTAATTTCTCCAGCTTATATTATTTGTATGTCACTTTAAGAAAATTTAAAATTATATGTGTCAGTACTTGTATAGACAAATGTGCCAACATCTTTTTGTATTATTATTAAAAAAGTTTACTTTTTATTTATTGGTTTTTATTAGTGAGAGTTTGGATGAAAATTCTTCATTTCCTTCCATATCTGAAATAGTTACTCTTGTCAAGAGTCTGAGATTAAATCTATTTGTTACAGATTATTTAACCTATTTGTTATATACCTGTGCAGATTGGTTTTTAACGTTTCAATGTTTGATATGTTGTGTGACTATTTGAAGCTGTTTAAGAAAAATGTGTTAGAAAAAAAATGTGTTAGTTTTAGACATTATTTTATAACTTATCTTCTAAAGCAAGAGATTAGAATGACCAAACTTAATGTCAATTAGATTTCTAAGAATGAAGGCATGCAAAGACACAATTTCATGTAAGCAGACTTACTTACATGAGTAACTCCCCCTCACTCTTGGTTCTGGGAATAGAACCCAGCATGCTAGGCAAGCACTCTACCACTGAGCCACAAGCCCAGCCCTCTGTGAATAACTTTATGCTTGGATAAACTATGATTGTCCTTAGCATAGTTCCTGGCACCTCTTCTAAAATGCTAAATTTTAAAGTTTCAACATGAAAAAAAGTGTTTAAGAACAATAATCTAAAAATGCTAGTTAAACCTCTCACATTCCTGGTGTTGGATTTTAATTTTCAGTGGTATGCATCAATTCCTATGTTTCTGAACAAATTGTCACAGATTTTGTGGCTGAAAGCCACACATTTATTATCTTAACAGTTCTGGAGGTCAGAAGTCTGGAGCAGGTCTTGCTAGTCTGAAATCAAGATGTGGCATTCCTCAGGGTGATGTGTCCTTGCCTTTTTGAGCTCAGGAGGATCCCATTTTCCTTGGGCTGGAGCCTCCTTGTGTGTCTGAGGCTAACCGAGGGCAGTCAAGTCTCTCTAGGCTGCTACAATCCAAGTCTGAGTCTCCTGCTTTCTGTTTTCATTGATGAGTACCTGGGGATTTACACTGGGCCTATCGGGATCATCCAGAGTAATCTTCCTATCTCAAGATCATTAATCTAATCACATTGATGAAAATCCCTTTCAACAAGTAAGGGGATATATTTTCCAGTTTCAGGGATTAGAACATGGATAACTTTGGGGGCCATTATTCTGCCTACCACAGGGTTTATTTCTCTTCAAAAGAAAGAAAGACATCCTTTTACTTCTGTGTTTCATGTCAGAAAATTCCAGAGCATCACCCAGACCTTCTCCCTCCTGTCACCCAAGGAAAAGATAGCTGCAAAGATTGCGTTATGTCTTTGGTGTCTTGATTAACATCTCTTTTGGTGTATAAGCACCATTCTTTATAAAACACTTTTAAAAACATTTGAAAAGGCAATTTGGTTCCTGAATAAAATAATTATTGAGAAAACCTTATATAAACAGACATTAATGTTAAAGTTGGTCATTTGCTGACCAGATATCATCCTCCATTCTTTCGGGTGCAATTACTGTGTCACTGATGTTCCTTTCATCAACACATTCCAGAAAGGAAGATTATAGAAGACATTCCACGATTAGATTAGGTGGGTGGGAGGGGTGTTTTCAGACCAATGTAACTTAGTAAATAGAATTTTGCATTTAGATTTGCAAAGCTTAATTTCTGATTTCCTCACAATAGCTGTATATTCTTGGGTACTTCATCTCATTTTGACTCAGCTTCTTTACCTTCAAAATGAAGTATGTATGGTCTTTATGTGTGTATATGATATATGTAGACAATTACAATGTTAAACACGTAGGTGTTAGTCTCCACATAAACTCATAGTAACTTACCTATTTGTAATTTATTAATTTAACTCAAGTATTAACTTTTATGACTGCAAGAATGAGTTGGAATACAAATTATAATGCTTTCTGAGTGTAATATAAAAAATACATCCCCATCCATGACCTTTCTTAAAGGGCTTACCTTCCCTACTAAAGGGTTCTCTGGGATTGGAGAGCTGGGGGGCTTTTTTTTATCAGCAGATGCTAATGTAGGTGACCACTGGGACCTTAAATACTAACTTGCCCTTGAATATATAAGGCTATAACACATGTTTCTCAAAATTTTGTTTCTGAAAATATGTTCTCACTGGTATTTCCAACAAATTTATATAAACATAATAACATTTAGAATACTTAGTAGACAGATCTTTCAAAATGGAGTTGCTTCTGTAAAATCATTTTTTAAGTATATTTTTAATTGTTGATAAACATTTATTTATTTATTTGCGGTGCTGAGAATCAGACCCAGTGCCTCACACATGCCAGGCAAGTGCACTGTCGCTAAACCACAGCCCTAGCCCCTGTAAAATCATTTTTTAAAGATGCAACACATACTGTTTACCACCTTAGTGAAGACCGTGTTTCGTGTATAAAGGAATGCTCAGCAAGGCAGAACCTCAGTAAAACTAAAGGGCTTTCAGTTATCCCACAATGGAATATTAAAAAAAAAAAAAGAGGACACTGAAGCTATTGGAATGATACTTTCCAGAAAAATCCTACTGATTTTCTACTCTACACATGTAAATAACTTGAGAGATTATTTGGAAAATTGTATTTGCAGAATGGAAAGATGAGGACAAAACACCTAGAGTTAAAGGTGATGTGATGCTGGCTTAGTCGTCATGCAGGCGTCTAGCAGATCCTGTTGGTGTTGAAATGAAGAGCACAATGGTGTGCACAGAGGAGAGGGCTTTTCTCCCTGTTCTCCTGATTTGTCTACCTCACTAAGTAAGGGTGTGCTCCTATTTTGTAGCATCTCAAGGGACAAATAAGTTAATCCTAAACTCATAGCAGCAGTCATGTTGTTGTCTTAGGTTGTTCTTTTCCTACTGAGTGTAATTGAATATTGAATATTCTGAATATAACATATCTCATGTTACTAATGAGATCTCATTCCCATTGACTATTTCTTTTTTCTCTACATGTGGAAAATTTCTAATATGCTTAATAACAGGTATAGATATCAACAGATGTATTATTTAGGCAAATTTGTGTTAGCAACTTTCTGAAATTCAACTGGATATAGTTTTATATAAAGTGCCTATTCAACCATTTAAAATTGGCAATGAAGAAAAATTATAATTGACCATTGCTTAGTGATATTTTCATTTGCTGAGAAGAGCATGAGTACTCTCCTTTTCTGCACCTAATATCTATAAAATTCTACCTCAAGACTCTATCTTAAATTATTCTGTTCCCAAAGGCATTCATAGTGATATAAGTAACAGGCAGTATGGGGCTTAGACACTTAGACCTCCTAAAAAATCTCATACAATGATTAATCTTGAATGTCAGATTTCGTATAGCCGTTACTGGAGAATGATGGATTTGGGATATTAGAGAATCAATTTAATTTTTTTTAATACACAGGGGACATATACACTAGCAGCATGAGTTGAGGGAGAAAGGTAGAACATTAAAAAATGTTCAGATTCTTGGTTGAATTGCATGACCCGAGTAACTCTATACCTTAATTTTGGTCTGGCCTCATATGCTTTATATTTTATTATTATTAATGTTAATTAAATTACCATTGTTATTGTAGTTATTTATTCTTTTATTGGGTTTAATTTCTCTTTACAAAATATGCATGGACCAAAAAAAATGTGACTCTGGGAGAGTATTGCTGAGTTGTTGCTGATGTCAGTTTCATACTGTGATATTTTTTCTCTGTTTACCACCAGATCAGTATTTCAATATAACGATGTGCATGTTTTCCCCCTTCTCCCGCTGCATGCAGGGATTCGGGTTCGTAACTTTCGAGAATAGTGCTGATGCAGACAGGGCCAGGGAGAAATTACACGGCACCGTGGTAGAGGGCCGTAAAATCGAGGTGCATGTCTTCAATAATTCAATTTCTGGTTTCTATTTTTACTTCTCTCTTTTTGTATTGCCTCACTTATTTCACATTTGTAACCCTGTCTTGTTTGTTGTGTGTGTGTGTGTGTGTGTGTGCGCGCGCACGCGCGCGCATATGCCCACGTATATGTGTGTTTTCTGTGCTCTTCACCTCCTGCACTAAAATGTATAAAAATAACACTTTCTGTCTGCCTCTGCCACCCCCACTTTTTTTTTTTTTTTTTTTTGGTTGTTTGGGGTTTTGCTTTTGATGTGTGTGTGTGGGTGTGGGTGTGGGTGTGTGTGTTTCACTTTTTTTTTTTCTTTCTCCAAAATGTTCATCTTTCTGCTCTCTCTTTTTTTTTTTTTTTTTTTTTTTCCTTTGCTTCAGTTTGCAGTACTCCACAATCAGGCCTAAACAAACTAACTTTAAAGATATCTAAGAATATCCAATTTATAATTGGGGTCTGTGATGAATCAAGGGGCCAGCCAATATCTTTTTTTCTCTTGGGAGGCCAGTTTGCCTCCATGTGTGTGCAATTAGCACAGAATAGAAGATTTTAGAGGCTGTGGGGAGGGAGGAGAGAACCCAAAACTCATGTAGTTTTAAATATATTTAATGCCAAGAATTTCAACCGTTGATTCTTACGTTTTGCGAATAACATCCTCAAAGGAGGGTTTGCAGGCTGGCTGACGCACTGTGGTTGGCTTGCATCAGCCACCAGGCTCCCCAGCCCTTCATTATAACGCATTGAAGGTTAACTGGCTCCTTTCCCCTTTCCCAATTTTTAAAGTATTAAATATAAAAGCCACCATTTGAGTAAGATGTCTGCATATTTGCTTTTTTCCCCCCTTTCCAATGGTTTAGCATTTAGGGCCCTTCACTTGACTCACTCTTTCCATGGTAACTATACACAATGCTGGCGATGGTGCCCGTTGGCGGTAAGTGAAACAAGCACTAGAGAAGAAGCTTTTAAAAATGTAATTACAAAACAATTAAGAAATAAAAAGTCCATCTGCCATCTCACATTAACACTACAAAATGTGATTTGACTTGTTCCCCTTCCTTTCCTTTCCCCCTTTTATTTTCACTGCTGTTGAGTAATGCCGCCTGGACTTTGGATGTACATATTGTTTTGTAGCTGTCTGAGCTGTTTGGTTACTGACTTCATGGTGATTTTTCCCCTTGCACATCTTACTCAGAGTCACTGAACTCCAGTTTGGCTGGTTTTATTAATGCACTTCCTGCCCCTACTTCCTTTCTACTTTTCCTCTTTCCCAAACCACTGTTTGGGGCTCTGACTGTGTAACTCTTTCTTTGCCCTTGACTGCTCTTTTCCTTCCTGGGACACCCTTCCTGACTTTCTCTTTTCTTTTTCCCTACCTCATTGTTCTCTTTACCCAAATTCTCCTTAATTCTTCCTACCCCTCCCTTCTCTGCTCCACGGAGCTCTTGATTCTTTTGCTGACTGGTAGTTTCTGACTGGTTGTAGCGACTTTTCATCTCAGTGCTTGGTTGCATTCCGCTCTGGCAGCTGGTGCAAGCTCCTGCTCATTTAACCCAGCTCTGCCTTTCCTCCCTTCTTCCCTAGACTGATTTTTTTTCTTTCTTTCTATTATTTGTGTGTGTGTGTGTTAACTGCATGCACTCAGTCTCATCATTGTTGTTTCCCATTCTTTCTTTGTAAATGTGAAATGTTTCTATTATCTGGGGGTCAAACTAGAGTAACTGCAGTTGGATTACTGTACAAATCAAATGACACGTTAGGATTTTTTAAAATTCCAGTTCTACCTAAAATTGGCCTTTTTGTAACACAAATTTAACACAATGTACAGTCCGCAGACAAAATAAGACATGCTTACATTTATAATTCCTATTAAAATTGGCATGACCTGACAGTCATTTAATCAAGTTCTGTGGTGAGGCTTGACCCTCCTTGCAAGAGCTTTCAGGTTGATCCTGACCCGGGTCTCTTGCACCTAAGTTCATTCATCTCTCCAGCAGCACCATCCTTGTGACATCTACTTGTCTTGGCACTAAGAGTGCTTCATTGAAATGATACAGTTCTGTAATGAGGATAGAGGGTACCATAAAAGAAAAGCAGTGAACACTTTATTTTCACAATTCTTGAAAGTGCCAACTTTAAAGGCCTTCTGAAAACTTCATTCTTAAATGAATAGACCATGTAGTCTAGAAAATTCAGATGGCCCTGAAGGCTGCCCACATGGGCATTTAAGTTCCTATATTTTTTTACTACCTTCTGACAGTAAAATCTTAAACAAACATCAAAAAATGCAGAACGTTAAGACAAGTGAAATCAATAGATCCAGTTTATAATCTCCCTATAAATCTACTTCATGAATCAGGTGGCAAGCCTCCATTTTATTAATCAACTTCAGAGTTCATTTGTACATATAGTTGTTCCCTGTTTTTTCCCATGTTTTCCTTAATGGAGAAACTTCTGTTTAAGGATCTCCCAAGAATTTAAAATGTATTTTTTCTTTGGAGTACTGGTATAGTAACCTCAGTTTTCCACGTGGAGACTAAGAAACTGCATTTTACTCTTGTTAGCCTCATTTAATAAGCACTTATTAAAATTCTATATATTATATGACTATATTATTCATCTAAATTAATGCTATCAAGTTTATTTACATTTTGAATTAAGTACTGTGTTATTGGATGAGCAATTTCAAATTCCCTAATGTGGGCCCTTCCTCCCTGCCCCTTCTTTCTGCTTGCATTTTTAGGTGAATAATGCTACAGCACGTGTAATGACTAATAAGAAAATGGTCACACCATATGCAAATGGTAAGAAACTAAAAATTATTTTTTGAAGGATGTTGTTTATTTTTGCATGAATATATGAACTTTTTAATAATCCTATATTTTAGTCTTAAGACAGTGCATTTAACTTACATTAATCTTTACACATTAACTTTTTCCTTAGAATTAGCTAAGCTTTTGGTTTATTAAGGTGTTTTCTTCTCAGTAATGTTCATCTTGTAAAAACATGCCATTTGCGATTGCCTGTCAACTCAGTTGAGGTTCCCTGAAGCACCCTCTTTCAGCCACTGTAGTTCTCTGTGATATGTTAGACTTGTCAATAAAGCCCCGAAGCCCTCAGATGCTTTCTCCTTAGATGATCTTGAGTGGGGTAAGCTGAAAGGATAGTGTATTTAATCACTTGTATTTCTAGACTCCTGCTTCCCTAGGGCCTAGCAGTAACCGCCCTAGTTAGGGAGATGTGCCATTTTCTATCCCATGATTACAAGCTATATAGTAAACTTATAAATATTTCTCATTGAGAAGGAAATTTTCTATGAATAATTATTCTAATAAAAACAAAAGTTTCATGTCAGTTGTCAAATTTAATCTAGATTCCTGTTCTCTAAATGGGATGCAATATAATTTTAATCTATAATACTACACAGTATTGCAAACTGTCCTACAGAGTCAGATTGGGGGACAATAAAGGTAAAATCAAATGGGTTGGCTCCTGGATCCTGAGGTCTACAGTTCTGCTTTTTCATTTTTCTGGTGTTACGTGGGGTCAAACCCAGGACCTCATGTGTACCAAGCAGGCATCTAACCACTGAGCTGTCCTCCAGTCCTCCAGCTCTGCTTTGATCTAAGAGATTACTCATTCTCTGTTGTATTTTTTTATATATATTATGTTGATAAAAGGGAAGGTTTTTGCTGGTTTTTAAGAAAGTTGGAGCCTCATGTTCTAGAGCATGACCTTAGGTGCTAGTAAAACCTTAAGTCAGGTAGAAATATTAATATTGACTATATATATATCCCCTACAGTCTTTACTAGATATATCGAACCCAGTTTTTTTACAACAAATACAAATTTATCCACATAATTTCCATTTTCTTTACCCATTTATCAGTGGCATCATCCGAGGCATATCACTGCCTCCCACTTAACCTCTAGTTTTCTTATTTTTATGGTTATTACAAAAACAGGTTTGTGCAATTTTGGTAAAAAACCCAACATAAGCAAAATAGGAAAGAGAGGCAGAGCATGTCAAATTTTCTTTAGATCCAGAGAAAATGATGTGACAGAAAATAGCCCCTCATGGAATTTGAGAAGACAGAAATTTTACTTCTGAATTTGCCTCTACATATCACTCTATGACAATGGGTCAGTTTCTTAACCTGATTCTATTTTTATATCTATATATTGGCATCCACAGAATTTTAGAAGATGCTTTAGAAAACACCAAAAGCCAATTCTCTAAGCTTATTATTTAGGAAATAAGGCCAGACAAGTAGAGTACTTACCCAAGGTCACATGTGGTACTTATATTCCTATTTGGATTTTGTGAAGGTCACATGTCTTCTGTGAAAATACACTGTAAATTGTACAAAACTAAACATACCTAAAGTATTATTAGCAACATATCAACCTCCACCCATTTTATGGACATAAAGGAAATCTCAGGAAATAGTGTCACTAGTAGGAAAGAAAATTTCATCCTTTAGATGTTATTCTAATTTAATATTCAAGCCTAAGTTCAAGAAAACTTCTGCTTAAGGCCCTAAGAAGAGTGTGCTGAGTGAATTCTCAAGGAGCATTTTCACTTGTGTTGGTTTGAATTACTTAATTTGTGCAGAAACATTTGCTCAGTGGCTGTGCAACTTATAAACTTTGACAGTGCAGATCATACATGCTCTTAAAATTCAAGTAGCATTTGAATCTGGGTTTCACCCAGATTTCACAAGGACTCATGGGGCTATCATTATAGCACACAAATCAGCACCTTCATCAGAATGGGAGGCTGGAGTGATTGAGAAGTAGTGGATTTTCTCTTTACTTATAGTTTTGCTTATAGCTGTTAAGATCTGTTAAGGTCAGGGGCTGGGGTTGTGTTTCAGCAGTAGAGTACTTGCCTGGCATGTGTGAGGCACTGGGTTCAATTCTTAGCATCTCATATAACTGAATAAAATAAAAGTCTATCAACAACTAAAAAAAATAGATTCAAAAAATGTTTAATAAAAAGATCTGTTAAGATCATTAGAATTGACGTTTTATCCTCTTCATTCATATATGTTAAGGGTAGCAGTGGCACAGTGCTAGGAAAGAAATTAATAGAAGAGCCAGCCTTTCAGAAAAATAATAGGATATCTTTGCTTATCAAGTACAAAATTCAATAAATCTTTATTAAGGTTTTCACATGGAATGTACTCATTCACTGTCAGTGGGCAGTAATATCATTTTATGTTTTTAGCCCTTGCTATGTTCTTGTAAATGTAAAAGGGGCAAAAGAAATAAAATTGACATGAAACAATATTCTTTGGAAACACAACATTTATAAATGTTGAAGCTCACAGTCAGTAGCAGTCTGGTGGTGTTCTTGGTGTGATTAACTTAAATATGTTCATTATAAATAAAGACCTCAGAAGCCACACAGAGAATTTGGGAATGTACCTTGAATTTTATTATTTCATGACTTTCCTCTTTTGCTTAGCGAACTCCAGTAAAATCCCAACAGTGAATCCTGATGAAAGGGAATTTCAGTTTCCTCAGAAAACCAGTATGGTATAATTGAACATGGGATCAAAAATCCAAGTCAAATTTGAATTCACTCAGAGGATACCTTTATAAAGAGCCATAGTAGTAAACAGTGTTAAAGAATGCACATCACCAAGTAGTGCAGAATAGCTCATGTTCTGCCTTCTTTCCTTTTCCTAAACTAAGAGTAGGTCGCCCAGGTGGTGCTGTGAAAGCACCCACCAAAACCCAGAGGTTATTTCTCCCCCTTTATCCTCTCTCCCTTTTCATCTCCCTCCCTCCTTCCTAATTTCTTTCTCTTCCTCTCTCTCCCCGATGCCCTGCCTCCATCCCTGCAACCCCTCATTATCCCTTTAGCTGTGCTAGTCCTGCTTAAAGAGTACCACCCTGCTCTCAGGTAGACCCAGAGGTGGCTAGGTTCTGAAGGAGTTAATTATAGGCACAAATGAGCCCAGAGACGTCCAAAGCCAACTGACATGAATTAATCACTCCTTTTCCTCACGTAGCTTAAAGCTCACTGCTCTTTTTTTCATTTCAGGTTGGAAATTAAGCCCAGTAGTTGGAGCTGTGTACGGCCCTGAGTTATATGCAGGTAGAATTGACATTATAATATTTCCTCGTGTGCTATTTAACTGTAGCAACATCTGTGGATTTTCAATGTGCTGTTCCTTTGTAATCTTCTTGCTTTTTAAAAAAAATTCTTTTAAATGCCATCAGCATCCAGCTTTCAAGCAGATGTGTCCCTCGGCAATGATGCAGCAGTGCCCCTGTCAGGAAGAGGGGGTATCAACACTTACATTCCTTTAATCAGTAAGTAGCCTATGTTGGCCTGGCATGATTGTAACTGTTGTGACTGAACAGTGATGTGCTTGTTTGGTTTGTTTATTTTGTTTTGTTTATCCTACTATAATACACAACTGAAAGAGAAGCGTTCTCAAGAGGGGTAATAAGTACAATCACAATGCCCTGTTCTGTTCAACGTATGCTGGAATCTTCCTGACCACATATTAAGATTTCCACAAAACAAAAACAGCTGAATAAGGTAGAGGGGGTAAAGGCATGTGAAGAATATTCTAGTCTCTACTTGATGACAAAGAAAACAAAAGCCATGTGTGGTGTGGAGGTTGTTCTCCGTGCCTCCAATAGTCTGCCCTGCTCTCCAGTGGAGGGTCACTTCAGAGCACCTCCAGCATCACTGACATTCCAGCTCTCTTGAAGTCCCTAGAACCCCTTCTACCCAAGCCTGTCCTCTAGCAGAGGTATAATTAAACAGGATTCAGTGGATGCGGAAGCCATATATCTGTGCAGTTTAAAATAGGCCTGTGTGAACATCCACCTCTTGAGAGGATATAGGGCAATGGGGGAGGAGTGGTTTCCCTCTCACCTTCATTGCTGGATTACAACATGTTAGATAAAGGGATGAAACTGACGAAGGAAATGTCTAAAGTCTACTGTGTGCATTGGAGGCTGACAACATGTAAAAATACAAAAATAACATTCTTTTGAGAAATCATTATTATATCCACATAGTAATATTTGGAAACAAGATTAATAACTGGCCAACTAAAGAATTTCTATCAGTCTGATTTGCACTGCCCACAGAAGTTAGAAGTCTTATCTCGTATTAGGGCAGTAGTTCTCAGAGCTCCTTGGCCCATATCTCACCAGCTCATGGTATAATGGCAGAATTGGGAAGGAGCAGAGTAAATCACTCAAGGGCTGGGAAGAGTAAGGCATGAAATCATTCACTTATACATGTTGTCATTTCTTTCCTGCTCAGAGATCCCGGGTGGGAGATGGGTGGAATAATCTGTGTGCCATCTTTTCAGGAAGGATGTGCTACCTATCTTGTCAGCTTTTCTATAACTGGTTTACAGCACATTGTGACTATATACCTACTGTTGAATGCAAGTTGAAATTTCTGTCATATTTTGGGTCTCCCTTTAGTTCCTGGCTTCCCTTACCCAACTGCAGCCACCACGGCAGCCGCTTTCAGAGGAGCCCATCTGAGGGGCAGAGGGCGGACAGTATATGGTGCAGTCCGAGCGGTACCTCCAACAGCCATCCCCGCCTATCCAGGGTAAGCATTAGATTCCAAAGTCAGTGTGTTTCTGAAATAAGCAGTTGGACAAATAAGGAATACCATGGCCCTCTCATAACTTCTGGGACATTACCGTGCCACTTAGTCTGAATGTTTTCAAATTAATGGATTAGATGGAAACCAAAATGTACCATCATCAGAATGTAACAAAATGTCAATTTGTTATATAAATCTTATTTGGGCCACCTTAAGCCTTCATGGTAAGAGCTTAAGACAGTAGCCAGAACCGTCTGTTTACTAGCAGTGTGTTGGCATGGAGCTCACACAGCAGCGCACGAGTGTGGATTAACACTACTGAAGAGAACAAGAGAGGAGCTGGGGGTCATAGTCCAGACCACCTCTGCTGGGTACACCACCCTGTTGGGGCAGAGGCTGGCACATGTGCCTCCCCATGATTTCACTGCCTGGGTGGTGAGCAGCAGAGCTAGTTACCCACAATGGATTTGCTTTCTTTGTAGGAAATGGATTAAAAGAGGTTAATTCAAAGATGAACCAAGTCCAATTGAATCAAGGGAGGAAGGGAGAAGTAGGAGGATTGAACTGCAGTTGGCTTCTGAAGGATGTAAAACAGCTGCTGCAGCTGAGCACCCTTCACCCTTTGGTTTTGCATGGAGGGTGCCTCATGCAGTGGAATGATTCCATAGCAACAAATAAATCCTTTGCTATTGAATGGGGAGAAGGAGTGAAGATGGTAGGTTTGTTTTTAGTTGTTTCTCTGTGTCAGCCTAAAATGTATATTTTTATATAAAGAGTGGACTTTTTATAAGTTAGTTGTACCAAGGACTTTCTCTCTTCAAAGATGTGACATTTCTCTTCTTCATCTTTTCTCTGCCTGTGACAGGTTTTTTCTGTATTCTTATGGAGAAATAACTAGTGGCAGAGAAGCCAGTTAGCCGCTACTTAGTTAAAATGTAAAGGGAAAGAGCCTCCTTTGTATGTCCTTTCTGATAGCAAAATTGGCTTCACCGGGAGGTGTACTAATTTAACATTCATTCATTCATAGACCAAATGGACATACCATTAGGAGTCCTCCATGCCACAGAATTAAAGCACTTTTATTAGACCAGGCAAGTATGCATGTTGAAGTGGGCAGGCTCCAAAAAACACTGGAAGGGAACTGCTACAGAAATTAACTTTTGTTTGCAACCTATAGATGTTTAAATCCCATGCATTCCATCATCTCCATCTTCTGCCATGACTTTTAATTTTATCCTTTTTTCTCGCAACTTGACCTTTGACCTTCAACCTCTGACATCTCTTTTAAAGAAGTGAATAATGATACAGTATTGTTTCATCAAGAAACATGCAAATGAAAATAAAATAAGTTTTTTTTGAACGTTTTGCACACTAGGAAAATTTGTCCATGAAGTGCCTTCCATTTCAATTCAAAAATGTTTATTGTCATGTTTGCAAAGAGAGACTACTCAGAGAAACATGGGATTTTCTTATTTTGTAACCTTCCTGAGTTCCTTTATTAAGTGGTTGGAATTCATTACTGTTCAATGTAGGTCATTTCAGTATATTGACCAAACTTGAGAGCCCATTCTCTACCAAGTTTATTTCAGGTATATATTTGATCAAAGGTATTTTTATCTTTTATGTCTAATCACCTCAATTTCTGTGCATTACATTGAACACTAATTTCCCATGTTTTCTTTTTTATTAACTAAACCACCTGTTTACATGGAAGATGGCAAGGAATAAGTCCAGTATTTTATGGGGAATGGCCTAGAATTGCTTTTCAGCTTAGAAAACTAACTCCATCATTAATCATTGTGTTCTCGCCTCCTTGTGGCATTTGATACAGGGAATATTGGAATCCTTCCAGAATTTAGGTGAATATTCCCATTAAGGCATTTGATGCAGGGCAAAATACATTTTGTTTTTATTGTCAATACTCTCCTCTAGAAGGAATGTTTTTAATCTTTGCCTATATCCCTTTCCTGAAATTGCTGAAGGTTAACTAGTCAGCACTTGACTTCAGTGCATTCCATTTTATCAGCTTTCATTAAGAGACAAGTCTTTCTTACTAAAATGTAATGGAGAGGCAGATGACTCTCTAATATGAGCCTTAACTGCAGCTGAAGACTATGAAAACAGAAAGGACTTGGATAAATGACCATCAGAGAAGAGTGTGGTTTGCCTTTTATATAGTACAAAGGCATAACATATCTGGGACACCGCAGAGTGTGACCACAGTGCCCTGTAATGGCAACAAAAGGTCATTGGAAATGAAAGTCAAGACACTTTTCAACCACCTACAAGAAATAGGTCACTTCATCTTTAAATTAAAAATATGATTTCATGCCCCTACTTGCCAGCTTGTTTATTGCAGCAGAAAATAGTAGTAAAAATTCCCATTTCTCCCGGAGCGGTGACACATACATGTAATCCCAGCACTCAGGAGGCCAAGACAGGAGGATCATGAGTTCAAAGCCAGCCTCAGCAAAAGTGAAATGCTAAGCAACTCAATGAGACCCTGTCTCAAATAAAATACAAAATAGGGCTGGGAATGTGCCCAAGAATGCTCCTGGATTCAATCCTGGTATTCCCCCCCCCCCAAAAAAAAACAAAACAGATCGTCTAATTTAAACAGCCAAATCTTGATCTAACAAATATGAAGAAAAATATCTTTTATCTCTACTGCTGTTTCATGCCTTTTGGTCCCAAAATAATGTTTTTGGGGAATATCTGTATATGCAAAAAAACCTTAAAAGAATGGAAATCTACAATTCAGAATAATAATGTAGTGTTTCTCCAGGGTCTTTTGTTTTTTTAAGAAAAAATGAAATTTGTTTGATACAAATTCATTATCTAAACAGGAAAATAGCCCCTTCTATTCCTAACTAGCCACCATCTCAGTTTTATTCTTTTAAATAAGACAGGATGATCCTTGGTCATGCCCAGAACTTCAGTTATCAATTATATTTTTCAGAACTCCATGCATATTTTTATGGTCAAAAAGAAACCCTTAAAATCTTCCAGTTACTCCTTCCCACTCTGGATTATATTGTTACTATCTGGGATCCCCACTGCACCTTTCAATTCTTGGACCTTGGACCAATCACCTTAACCTTTAGCTCATTATCTCTGCTTGTGAAAGCAATGCATTGTGGGTATTTTTGGTTGTTTTTTTCTTTTTTCTTTTTTTTTTTTAATTACATTTCTCTGTTTACTTTGGTCAGAATTGATTGACTTGTTTTTCTGAGGTGTTGCATTGGTTCTTAAAAATGCTGAATAATAATACTTTGCATGCTTGTGTGATCAGCCAAATCTTATCGCATGTCTAATGTGCAGGGTAAAAAGCAGGTGATGTATGGATAGCAGAAAAAAATTATATTTTACTACAGAACTGAAAACAAAATACTAAACATAATTTTGAAACATTCCCTGATGGAATTCTTTGGGTTCACTTTTTTTCATGTTAAACCCCTCTTCACTCCTATCCCCCTTTGTAAGCCCTTTAAAGAAAAACTTTCTCCTGGGGCAAACTTATTTTAAAAAATACTGCAGGTACAAAAGATTGATGGTTCCAGTCCAGGGAATTTGAATAGCTACAGCAAGCTGTCCTGAGAGTGCTGCTTACTGGTATCCCGCAACCAGTAGCTCATTCCAACTGGCATGCCTTTGTCTCCCCTCGCTTTCTGGAGCTGTATGATGAGCGTGTGCACTTTCTGTTTTTCTCACTGATTTGCCATGGCCCAAGCCCAGTTTACGTATTCATACATCACCTGCCTGTGTAGAGCGCATGTGCATGCTGCCGTCCTCAATAACCGGAATGTGTTTCTGTTCTTTTGTTTTTTTGTTTTTGTTTTTGTGTGGATTTTCTGCAGTGTGGTTTACCAGGACGGATTTTACGGTGCTGACCTCTATGTAAGTACACACACTGGGGCCTTCTCGACCCCATCCCCTGACAAGCCAGCCTTTTTTTTTCTGTTTCTTTGGTTTGGTTTGGTTTGGTTGTTTTTTTTTTTTTTTTAATATAATTTGTTTAATTTTTAGTTCCTTTTTCCTTGTGGAGATATATATATATATATATTTATATATTTAAGAATGCAAGCATGCTTCTCTGCCACTGCGCTTGCCCCTGGGTGCAAAACCTGAGCCTTTGGGTTCCCTGATCATTGCCAGGGTCAGTCTACTGGACATATTCTTTTCCCTTCCCTAAACCCACGATGTTCTGTATATCTCTGATTTATTGTTGAGATGATCAGCAGGTTTAAAGTCTTATTACTGCCGTATCATTTGCATACATAAATAATAGGACTAGCTTAGCCTGTTTACCTTTTCTGCTTTTCTCCTCATTTCACATCTCTCTTTAGATCATTAGAGCTTTGATTTTTTTTTTTTAAATAGATGGCAATAAACTTTCTGGACTGTGTGCTTTCTGATTTCCAACTTTGAGAGAACATGCACTGGTGAGAGTGACCTAAGACTGATGCCAGTGAAGAGTGTGCAGGGAGAGGGGCCCAGGTGGTCAGTGCTTGACCTTTCTTGGGCCAAAGGGCCACAACCACAAGGTGTCTTTTCTTAAGATCCAGAAGAGGGAAATAGTGGCATAATTAACAACCTAGACTCTCCTGAGACCACTTCATAGATTTGTTGATTCTTCTAGCCACAGAACACTTAATCCATCATTTAAGCTGTCTAACTATAGCTAAAGTTCCATGATTGGTTTGTCACATACTATTTAAGAGATGGACAAAGTGACCTAGCCGACAGAGTGAAAGTTTTTGAGTTTCTAAGTCATTAAGAAACAGTTGTGTAGGGAAAAACTTGCCAGCATGAAATGTTAAAATAGTCTAGAACATTCTTTCACCCTCACTTCCCAAACCTACAAGCTGACCTTTTTCTAGTGAACTATTTCTGCAGTCTGCCAGAGATTCTCTGGTGATCTGAAGAAGCTAATGCCTGTACCAGTGCACTGGGAGACTGGCTGTACCGCAAGCAGTAGAGGTGGGATGAGGCCACCCTCTCTGGTGCCCCTTGGTGGAGCAGCTGCTTAAGAGACTTAGCCATGACTTAGTTCAAACCCCTAAGTTCGTAGATATATTTCTTAGTTTGTAACTTGCCCAGAATGACATAATTTATTCATAAAGCTGAGCATAAAACCCAACTAATTCAGATTTCATTACCACTCTTTGTACTTTAATCAAAACCTACTTCTTTCCTCAGAACATTTATAAGAAGTAGTGAAAGATATCTTTTTTCCCCATGTTCACAGTTAAACTGGAGAATTGGGGAAATCTGGCCAAATTACATGTTTACTCCTGATGTTAACATGTATACATTCTCCCATGTGCATTAGTATCCATATTCTCACAAAACTCTATGTTGTTTTCTTGAGGTCTGGTCTAGTAGAGCAAGCCTTTCCATTTCAGTTATTTCTTAAATCCATGTTTCCTCCCTAATGTCTTCCTTATTAAAGTACAGCCTTCTTTTGACTTGGTAAGAATTGCCTACTTTCACCTTGTTAAGTCACCAGTTGAATATATGTTTACAGTTCTCTCATTTCCTTAGTTTAGAATATAGAATTTCATTGAGAGAGACTATTCTATACTTGTCAAGAAAATAGTTGATTTTTTTCCCCCCTAATCTACTAACCAGATTACCTTATGAAGCTAAACAAATAATTCAGTGATCTGGTCAGAATTTTTTTTCTTTTTGCTAGTGGTCCCTTATTAATTAAAGTACTTAGCAAAATTGAATTATTACTCCTTTGTTCCTATCTTAAAGCAGATTTGCTTGGAGGAAAAAAAGTCACTAGTGCTAAGACGGCATCCAAGCTCTAGCAAGAAAGAAGAGCATGTCATAGGCAGCTGTGAAGTCAGGCCCGTGGCAACTGCAACTGTGGAAGTGGGTGGTGCTGATTTCATGCAAGGTGGCAAAGGGTGCTTCTTAAAGACAGACAGAAATGATTGTTATGCCTTGAGTTCTGCTCTCTCTTTACATTTTCTTGTCTGTGGAAATTTGTCAGTACACATTTAGTTTTGTTTCCTCAGAAAAATCACATAGTATAGAAAGGAGGAAGGGTTTCTCTGTGTTAAAAAGTGCACTGAGCCTAGAAGACAAAAGAAAGAAGAGTTTAGGTGCTGATTTGCTTACATGGTATTAATTCTGAGGGGTTTTTTAAGTCCCTTTCCTTTCCACTCTTAGTGATCCCTGTGGCCATTTTTTCCTTCCTGTTTCTTTTATGGCACACTGCTCTCCAGAGAACTGATCAACTAATTGTGTCCACAGTTTTTAAAGAAACCTGCCAGGATAGGGCTGGGGAGAGGCAGACAGATTGTGTCCACTCCTCCCCGCTCTTCTTTACTGAGCAGAAAAGGCATAGTTCACCCTAATTCACCTTTTAAGTGGGATAACAAACTGCTTCTACTTCTCATCCTGTGAAAAGCATGCTTGCATCCAAAGGAAAGAAAAGGCTGGTGGGCCCCACAGTGGGCTTTTTGTATGATTGTTTTCCTTCCACAGCTGTGTTTTTTGAACTGCTCTTCCTGTGTTCTGTTATAGAATAGTCTTACAGGAACCAATCATTAGCGCTAAAATACCTCAGGTAGGAGTGCCAGTGTGACCTGCCAATCAATCAGATTGTGGATTGCAGTGAAAAAATTGAATTATACTAACCATTCCAGCTCCACGTTAGAGATGGGAACAGAGGCTTTTTTGGACAATCAAGACTTGTGAGCGTGTGATCTAAGCCCTGCTACCTCAGCAGAGCACACAGTCATATCTACACACAATGGCACTTCCTCCAAAATTAACTGCTCCTGTCCCATTGCCACATATCTGCACCAGGTGTGTTGTATGCACTGTCCCATCACTGCTGCCTTTTTTAGTTTGTCAATCACATTTGCCCGTGATATTTAAGCTGATCTTTTTTTGTTAGAGATCTTAGCAGCTGGGGACATTTTCTTATGACTGTGAAAGAAATGTGTAAAGGGAGGAAGTAGAACCTTGTCCAAATGGGACTTACTTGAATCCCAAGTTGGGCCCTGTTATGAAACCCTAGTAATCGGCATGTGCTACTACATAAAAGTCTACACAGATTGGACTCAAAGCCAAGCTTTGCCTTTTGCCTGTAGCTTGTCCTTTCCTGGAGAAGAAGAGCGAGTTCATTTGGGTAATTACGCTCCTTCTGAGGTCTGTTGATAGCCGAGGGCTAGGAGAAGGAGTACAGTCAGTGGCTCTAAATACCGTTACTTTATTCATGTGGCTGCCCAGTGAGATTTTGGAAATGAACTAATGTGGAGAGACGTGGAATAGCAAAACTATTTGAAAGGGGTTTTTTTTACAATCAGTAAAAATCATCTCTCATCTAACATAGAAGTTATAAGTTGAAGATGTTGAGTTGATCATCACAGTTTCTCCCTTTAACCACAATTTTAAATAATAATAAGATAAAATTTAAATCTACTTTTCAAAGTAGATAGATGTCTTAAGAATAGTAACCATGTTACCATTATTATAAGTTTGTGTTTTCTGGTCTTTGTTACTCACATGTACTCAAAGATGCCACGTTAAAAACTCAGGGTGTTCCTTAGAACAGTGATTCTCTGAGGGGAAGGGGAGGTGGTGAGGTAACAGAGGGAGTTAGAATCATCTAAGGCAATTGAAATGATTACCAGAGACCCAGAATTAAACTCCCACCAATTGCAGTAGAACTCTGCTCTGCTGGAGTGATTTGTAGTATTACACCTGTTGTCCCCACCACCACACCACACGCACACCCCTTGCTATGTTGATCTAGATAGTATGTGGAGGTAACAAGCTTTCATTTTGTCTGCTGGTCTTGAAATACACACTCTCCTCAGTGTCACATAATGTCATTGTCTTTCAGGTAGAAAGAAGGTGTCTTGACATCACATGCTCACCAAAGTCCTGTTTTAATGTAAACCTAAAACAAAAATGTAATAAAATGAAAGGCAGGGTTAAAATTAAGACAAGGCAAAAGTTTATCAGCATGAGATGAAACTAAGGTATACAGACAGATGTCAGGTCTAGGAGGGGTGACATTTAGAACTCATTTGGTTTGTTCTGGTTTAAAACAAAGCTGCAGAACTGTGCAGAAGAACCATGCAGTCAGTGTGGCAGCATTGTCAGGTTAATTAGATGATAAAACTAATTCAGAGTAGAAAAGAAAACCTGAGGAAGTGACATGGAACTGTGGAAATCTGAGGCTTTGCTTAAACAGCTTCAGAAGGCATTACAGAAAAGAATCTTAAAGGCAACAGCATTTTCCTTTGAAAATGCCAGAAGTTGAAGGCACAAAGATATGTTATGAATATGTTAAAAAAAAATAAGATTCTTCAGTACAGGGATGATTCTAGGAGAACACTGGGTCAGACTAGGTGTCTGTTCATAGAGGACAAACATGCAAGCAAGTGTGTGGGTCCAGGCTGAACTATGCTGTCAGGGTCAGGCAGGTTGGAAGGGGAGTGAGGTAGCATTGGGAACATCAGGAGTCATCCAAAATGAATTGCAAAGGGGAAAGAAAGTCATTATTTTTCAAGGGGCAAGAGTGTATTTGAATCGGGCTTAACCATGCCAAATTTATACAATCTCAGAGTTCCAAAAAGCTGTCTGTGTGTGCCCTCCTACATCAGGGTGTGCTGTGGCCATGCTAATCCCCATTTTTTGTTTTATTTCAAATCACACACAGATAGAATCTGCAAACTGCTTCAGATCCAACAGGTCTGATTGTGTGTAAATACATTATGTCCTTTTTAATTTTTATTATTAATGGTTGCTTCAGTTTTGCATCAGTGCATGGTTAAAAGCAATACACATCAGCTATTCATGACTTCATATCTCCAAATGAATTATTTCTCCTCTTTTTTTTGTTTGTTTGTTTGTGCAGTCAGCTGAAGAAATGTTAACATCTCACTCTAAATCTCTCAGTGGAGTCTCTGTTCCCTTCTCTGATATAACAGATGGGTTACTGCTTGTTATAATTATTAACATTGTGGTGTGGGCCAGGGCTAGGGTGGGCAAGGTTTACTCTTCCTTTGGGCTGGGGGGCAGTCGTTAGGGTATGGAATGTTAACTCAGTGGTGACTGACTGTTTCCGTAATACCAGGTCGTTGTGGCTGCACGCTCTAGTAATTGAGGCTGTGTACTTCACCGAGCTTGTGGTAGAGCCTAGGGCAAACCGCTGTCCCAAGAGAATGCTGGGATAGATAGAGTTAGCCAACACAGTCTGAACGTGGTGATTTTGCTGGTTGTTTTAGCTCCAGATGTTGGCATGCTTAGTTTTAATGTGATTAATAAATGTGGCGCCATATCCCCTCCCCACGCCTGAACCCTCTCTCTCCTACCCCCTTCCCACCTTGTTCTTTTTGAAAAATTTAAGAAATAGTAATGAAAACCTTGGTGTTTCAAACTGCACTTTGTTCTCATGTTCCATAAAGCCTTCAGATCTGCTGGCAGAACGGAAAGTTGAAAAACAGCTTCTCGGCCTGAATCTTTATGCACTTTGAATTCCAGACTACAAATACATAGGTCTGGATTTTGCCCTACATTTTGGGGGAAATATTTTGTTGAATGACCAATTTAAGCAGCAACAGACATACTCTGGAGCAAGAATATGTATTTAAGAGGAATAAGTCCATGATACACAATTTTTCTTATTTGGGAATAGTCACTGGTGAGTTACCTTGTTAGTGTGGTGGCTGGGACTTGTCCCTCCTTTGCAGGACTGCTCCTTCCTGCTGTAATCACACAGGCTCTAGGAGAGTGGTCGTGATGAAGGATGATGTGCTTTGTTTTCTATCTATCTATCTATCTATTTATTTATTTAAGTTGTTGATAGATCTTTATTTATTTATATGTGGTACTGAGAATTGAACCAGTGCCTCACACATGCCAGGCAAGTGCGCTACTCCTGAGCCACAGCCACAGCCCCAGCCCAGATGATATGCTTTTTAAAAAAACTATGGACAGAGTTTCTCCTAGTGCTAATGCTCCTCACAAGCCTTCTGTTGTCCTATTTTTCTGAACTTGAATCACAGAGAGTCTCATGAAATTTAGACTCCAAAGTCAGAGTTTCACTTACAAAAGAAGGAAACTACTGCGGATGCAGTCTGTCCATTTCCTTCTAGATCCAAAGGAAGATTCATTCCCATAGTCTGATCTGTTCTGAATTGTTTTCGTTAGCAGTGACATTACTCCTAACGGTCTCTGGCTTCTTGCACACCAGAAAAAATGTGAGGGGAACCTGTCCTGTCAGTAGCCTCCCTTAGAACCTCTCTTTCCCAGAATTAGTAAAATCAAGAGAATATAACTGTATTATTTCCACTCCAGTATTTCTTCCTGGGAGTCAGGCCTAAAACATATGAGCCTCAGAATTCTTTTTTTCTTTTTCTTTTCTTTTCTTTCTTTTTTTTTGAAAATTTTTTCAGTTGTAGATGGACATAGTACCTTTTTATTTTATTTATTTATCTTTATGTGGTGCTGAGGATCAAACCCAGTTCCTCACATGTGCACTCAGAATTTTTTAATAAGTATCCCTTATTTTTGCTCTAGGAGTATGCCCCTTTTTAAAAATGCTTTCATGCATGAATCTGGCCTTGACTTCTTTTATTTTTTAAAGATTATTTTGGTGTTTGAAGAAATACTAAAGAGACAAATCACATATTGATAAATTGACCTTGATTACAAAAAAGTTTTACTGCTGGGCATGGTGGTGCATACCTATAATCCCAATGGCTCAGGAGGATTGCAAGTTCAAAGCCAGCCTCAGCAACTTAGTAAGACCCTTTCTCAAAATAAAATATTAAAAAGGGCTGGGGATGTGGCTCAGTGGCTAAGCACCTCTGAGTTTAATCATTGGTACCCCCCCTCAAAAAAAATAAAAAAAGTAGTTTTACTGAAGGTAGCCCTGCTTTAGACTTAGCACTAGCTCTAATTCTAAACTAATGGAACCATCCCTAGTTACGACATTTGAGCCTTTAGGGTTCAGTTAACATTTCAACTGTGATGATTAACTTCTGCTTTTTTTAGCAAATGCTTTTACTACTTTGTGTCTTCTTTAGAAGCTTCAAAATAGAAGTAAAGAAATCTTAGTGAGCTATCTGTCACAGCCAGGGTGTCTAGCTTTGTCCACATCAGTCCTTGCCTGCCCATTCTCAGAGACCTGGCTAGAATTCCAAAGAGCCCTTGGTCACAGATAGTCCCATAGGGTACTGTCATGTCCCCACCCAGGATCATTTCACTGTCAGTATTTGTTAATATTGATTAGAACTTTCTTATTTTTAGGGTATCTATAGAATGTTTTGACATTAAGAAGGAAATGTTTACTTTTCTGAGTCACTGGAAGAATAAAGAAAGAATAACACATAACTACTGAAAATCAGTTTAGGATTTCAACCATATAAATATATATATGGTGGTGACTTCACACATCATAAACTTAAGAAGCAAAGTGAATTTTCCCTGACCTTGCAGTTTCTTCAGCTAGAGAAAGCATGAATTATATAAGACAGCAGCAAAAAGCTTTAGAAGCCCATAAATTCATAGACATTTCCAAAGTAAAATTTGATAGAAAGAATGAAACAAGGTAGAAATGACTGCATCAGATGGCAAAGAAGAACAAGGGAACACTTGCCAGCAAACACTCACTCTAATCATAAGGAGCCATACAGAAGTTAATGTGAAATTTCTTTTGTAGATTGATCAAAATCTGAACCTTTGAAGGAACACAAAGTAGAAAGTTTCAGATGTCCCTGAAAAATGTATACTGTTAATCTGCAGGAATAAAATGTTTGTGCTATTATTCACTACTGAAGTGGTGTCCAAGTGGACCAATTTAACAGCTGTTTTTGACAATAAAAGGGCAATAATAAAAATCTGCAACTGAATTAGGTTTAGGTAAAAAATAGATGAATTCTCAAAGGGTAAAGAAAAACAGGGCTTGCCACTTTTCACTGTGGCCTGTCTCATGGGCCATTTGTGGGGATTGTCTTTGAATACATCCTTAAGGAACCCGTGTTTCCCCATCTAGTGAAAGTCTTGGTTCACATAAACAGAAGAGAAATCTCAGGCTCTGGTGGGCTGAAACTGCTTAGGATTGAGAGGATCTCTGGGCCATTGGAAGGAAGGCTTGAGGCACCTGCATGAGGCTAGGAATCTAAGCCTGGTTTAGAGAGGGGAAATAAATGCAGTTAAGAGCCTTGGGGAAATGGTGCCTGAGCTGTTGGAACCCAGCCAAAGGCTCCTCAGCCATTTGTGGTCTGGTTTGCCAGTCTGAGATGTAGATTGTCGTTGGTCAATTTTTTCTATAAAGGGCCAAGTAGTAGATAACTATTTTTGGTTTTTTAAGCCATGCAGTCTCTGTCACAAGAACTTTGAAAGACAGGTGACAAACTGCATTAGCTCCCAGGGCAAGGTTTGCCAACCCTGATCTACTCTGTTCTTTGCTTCTAAACAAACACTGTCTGGTCATCTGGGCCTCTTGGCATATGTGCTGGGCCGGATGCAGCCAAGCTTTGTGTCAGACCTTTCTGTTCTGTGCTGTGGTCCCTAGTAATGAACCAGTCCAGGTGCGCATCAGACTCTGAAGTTGACACAGAGATGAGCTTGTTTTAACTCCATAATTTGCATTTCTTGTCAGTTGGAGTTCTCTCAACAGTCCATGAATATTTTCCCTGTTGAAAGTTCCAACAAAGACAGAAGAAAGGCAGATCCAAAGTCACATCTGTATCTTTTTAAATTAATGAACACTACCTGTATGCCTTATTTTGGGTACTATCACAAAGAGAAGCATGCAGTAACATGCAGACTGATGCAGTTTGAAACATTTCCTTCCCATGTGTGTGTCTGTGTTCGTGTCTGCCCTGTGTCTACACATGTGTGTCTGCGTGTGGGTGGGTGTGTGTGGACCTGCCCCGGGGAGAGGTGTCTGTAAAGTCAGTTCTCTTCTCTCCTGTAGGGTGGATATGCAGCCTACAGATATGCACAGCCTGCTACTGCAACCGCAGCCACCGCTGCTGCCGCCGCTGCCGCCGCTTACAGCGACGGGTAAGTACAGAGCCGGAGGGAACCGCACCAGCCGCGGCACCACCTCCTCTTCCTCTTCGCCTTTCCAGAGCAGTGCTGTCTCCCGGGCCTCCTGCCAGCCCACTTTTCATGGCCTCTGTGTGCCAAAGCACGAGCCCCTGACTCCTTCTGGTTCTTTTTCTACTTGAGTTGCAACTACAGTCTCCCTCTTCCTCATTTCCAACTCCCTCCTTTCCATTTTAGAGAAGAATTTAAGAATTTTTCAGTTATTGAGTTCAAGGGTAAGAAATAGAAAGGTTTTTTCCATTCTGCCAGTTTTCCTGAAAGCAGTCCAAGTGAAGTACCTCACCCGTCTTTACACAGCACACCCTTGACTTGTTTAGCTCGCAGGCTTACTGCCGCTCTCTGATTGTGCTTCTTTCTTCCAGTTACGGCAGGGTATACACAGCCGACCCCTACCATGCCCTTGCCCCTGCCGCTAGCTATGGAGTTGGCGCTGTGGTAAGTTCATTTATCTTTTTATATAAACTGTTTTAGTCCTTCTAACATCTACCCACAAATTGTAAAAGATCTAGGGAAGTAGTGTCAAAGCCACTTAGGTCTCTGGAAATTTACTCTCTTTATCTGTGTGCTGCAGGACCAGCCACATGGCCTCTAACAACTGTAGGAAAGAATGGATGGTGACAGTCTGCCCTGAGAGGAATAAGGGAATGGATTGATGTTTCATGTTGGTTCTAATGTTGAGTACAAACTGGTGGTGTAGCTTTATTGATAGGCATTGGCAGTCTTGGGAACCTAAAGCTCTCAGTTTTTGCAATAAGCTTTCCAAAAAGCTTAATGTGTATAATTTTTCGGTTGCAGATTGCCAAAAGATGTCTCTGCTATTCTTAGCCTTCTGGTAGATAGTACTAGGAATTGCCAAGTAAACAATTTATGAGAATATGTTATCAATAACAGTTTTGGCAAAACATGGTGTTTCGTGGAAGTACAGAGGCCCATAGAGCTTGTCTAGAATGCTCCATCCTAACCCAGGACCCCTCACGGTATCTTGTGTTGGCCTGAACACCTACAGTGCCACCAGTTGGGACACACTGGCTTTGGCAGAGACAGGCCATTCCATGGATATACTGCTGATACCAAGCACTCTCCAGTCCAGTGGGCATCTAGGCAATGCCTTTGGACACGGGCACAGTTATCTGTCAGGGAGGCAGAGTGAAGTGTAAAAGTTAAGGCATAAAAGCTGTCATTTCTCACACTGAACTCCTACTGGTACAAGTTTGGGGAAGGAAGAAATGGGGTCCTCCGGACTGTGTGTTTAGAACTGAGGTAGAGATGACAATATGAAGATAGAGGTGGAAGGTTCTGAGGTTTTATTTAGTGCCAGATGAAAAACTCATATACTAAAAGAATGACCCTAGGAAAAATATATTCCTGAGGAACTTCTCATTGGAAGAAACAAACTAGCCAGGTACAGTGGCACACACTTGGAATCCCAACTACTTGGGAGGCTGAGGCCTCCCAACTACTTGGGAGGATCATAAGTTCAAGGCCAGCCCAGGCAATGTAGTAAGGCTGTGTCTCAAAAAATAAAAAAGGCTGGGGATGTAGCTCAAAGGCAAAAGTGCCCTGGGTTCAGTCCCCAGTACTGTAGGAGAAAGAGAGAGAGATGCCATTAGATAAATCCATTTGATAAAGTTTAAAGAAAGAGCCTTGTGGCCAGTCACGGTGGTGCGCCCCTGTAATCCCAGTGGCTCGGGAGGCTAAAACAGGAGGATCGTGAGTTCAAAGCCAGCCTCAGCAATGGCGAGGCACTAAGCAATTCAATGAGACCCTGTCTCTAAGTAAAATACAAAATAGGGCTGGAGATTTGGCTCAGTAGTTGAGTGCCCCTGAATTTAATTCCCAGTACAAAAAAAAAAAACGAGAGAGAGAGAAAGAAATAACCTCATGGTATATAGTTGTACAGTTAGCTCTTTGGTATCTGTGGGTTCCATTTCCATACAGTCAACCATAATATTGGAGGGGTGGGAATTGTGTTTGTACTGAACGTGTATGAACTTTTTTTAAAAATTACTGTTATTCTCTAAATAATATAGTATAACAATGACTTTCACAGCATTTATATTGCATTGATTATTGTAAGTAATGTAGAAGGAGGGAGTGTGTGGGTATATGCAAATGCTAAGCTGTTTTATATAAGCAACTGGAGCATGCACAGATTTTGGTATCCAGGGGTAGACCTTGAATTAGTCCCCCACAGACACCAGAAGACAACTATAATTTATAGATTATAGAGGAAGTGGACTTTATTAGTTAAAAATTGACTTAAGTTTGAATACAACATCTCAAACGATGTTGCCACGCATGCTAGAGAAGGTAGTCAGAAGGACATGTGCCCTGGAAGGTGCCATGGGGCAGGCAGACGCTGCAGTCTGTTTTCAGTCAGGACTGTGGTGGTGCATTGAGGTAGACAGACTCGGATTCAGAAAAATCACACTATTTTCAGAACTAGATTCAAGCTGGATTGTGTTTACTTTCTTTGCTGATTCATGTAAATAATGAAGTAAACTGACCTCACACTCTCCCGGAGACCAGGAGCTCAGCACCTCAGCCATGATCAGGCCGGGTTCTAGTTAGAGCACCTTGAACCAGAAGTGTCTTCCTGACTTGCTGCCCAGGCAGCGCTGGACAGCTACTCTAAAGCTACCAAGGAAGTGGTTTGCCTGGTCCCTTTTCAGGACATGTGTCTTCATTTTTAATGCTTCTGTCATCAACCTTTTAATTATTTTTATGTCTTTAATTATTGCAGGCGAGTTTATACCGAGGTGGCTACAGCCGATTTGCCCCCTACTGAAGTGACGTGAGACCCCTGCAAATGGGACAGCCCCCCAGTTCATGAGGCCTGGCTATTGCAATATTTACTAGTAGAGGAACTCTATAGCAAGATGAAGAGGAAAAACAAACAAACAAACAAAAAAAAACACAAAAAAAGAGAGAATACTTTTTTATACCTCACTATGTTCTTTGAATATGTATTTTTTTCTTTTAAATTTCTGCCTTTAATTCTTTTGTTCCAAAGATTGTGCATTTTTTTCTTTTTTTTTTCTTTTTTTTTTTAACTGTGGTAAAAAAAAAAAAATAATGCATTTTCATGTCTGTATGTCCGTGCTTAGCTTATTCTATCAATCACGGAAGAGGCAGTTAAGAGGAAGGAGAGACATTAGGAGCTGATAAATGCATCTGATCAGAAATCAGCAGACAGGATTACCAAAGTATCTGGTGCTGAGTGAATGGGGGACAAGCAGAAGTAGAAGAGATCTTTCTGCAACAGTATATATTCTTCTGGTCTTCTGAATTTCTGGTCTTTAGCAGGCAGTTCTGATTGGCTGTGGCTGGAATCCACATGCCGCTAGATAGGAATTTGTGCTTGCAAAGCAGGAGAATTAAAAAGACGCTTTCCTCTCCTCTTCCCTCCTGTCTTCTCCATCCTTTTTACAATCATCTTACATGCACAGGCTGAGACAGTTGGCATAGTTTTTGGAATTATAGTATTGGTATTTCCAAACATGCTCTCAGACTGTGGATAATAAACACCTCATTAGGAAACTGATCTCAGAATGAACTCCGGAGTACAAAAAAGCTCTGGAGTATGAAAAAGCTCATTTTCCTGTCCTGTAACCTGGCAGGACTTCCTGCTGGGCTTCCTTCCCTTTAATTGAACCACAGCTGAGCTCATCTATTCTTTTATTAATATGCTGCTCCCATGTCCTCAAGATTCAGGAATTTAGGACCCAGGGACAGAAGAATGACTAGCCAGTGGCCAGATTTCCCCAGGTATCTGGGCACAGCTTGAGGATGAGAAGTACACATTGTGAAGAGCCATTAAAGAGGGTGCAGAAGAGAAAAGGCATGTTAGAAGGTCTGAAAGTCCTTGTCTTTTTCTTGCATCAGAAAGTCAGTACAAACAAAGGATAAAAAAAAAACAAAGATTTGTTGGGGAAAGGTAAGGCACCAAGCCCCTGGGTTGGCTGTCCCTGGATGTTTTGGTGATAAGGACATGGAGGGCAGTCAGAGACACTTTGTACTTGCTCCAAAGCCATAGGAATTTTCATCTTCCACAGCCTCTGTGAGTCACCTCTCTATCCACAGACACCAGCTCCCACGGCCATCTCACCCAGCTTCTCATTACCCTCCAAAGACACCAGCTGAAAGCCTGGTCCATTAACACTACAGGACACAAATTCAGACCCCACAATGGAAGGAGGGTGACATGGCCGTGGTCTTCCTGTAGAGCCCTGGAGGGAGTCCCTGTTCTTGCTGCCTGGCTTCAGTCTTACGCCACCAAGGCAGGGAGGAGTGACTCTCTCCGAGCCCCTAGGTGTGACATAGACAAGCATCCTCCGGTGTTTCCAGAATGAGGCATTAGGAAATGGAATAGCACCGTCTGCTAGGCTCCCTGGCCGGCTCACATGGTACTAGGGTGACCTTGCACCCAAGGGATGGCTGCTAAAGGGAGTCATTCAGAGACATGGCGCTTCTGCTTTGTCAGGTTTGTCTTGGCTTGTATTCTGACTCCCGCCTCCACATGTGTTCTTGGCTAATAACCAATTCGTGTCCTTGAATTAAAATGGCTGACATGTGACAGCATCAGGCAGTCTTTGTGAGCAGAGTGACGTGTCAGGGAGGGCCCTGGCCTGTTGTGTGTGACACAGATCTTCTCCCCTCAGCTCTTCTCCCTGGAACCTTGACAGGTTCAAGAGGCTATGCCGAGAGGCTATGCCTGGAACCGGAGATCTCGGTGTGGTCACTGATTCTGGGGGAGCATGTAGGGTAGGGACAGACTGCCCGGTCCATTGGCCATGTATAGGATCCCTCCCCTCAAGCCAAAGTTTGGTTTGTTGCTGTTAGGACAGTTTTTGCTATATGTATATAAATATTTCAGTTAGAGGAAGGGGGGATGGGATCTGGGGCTTTCACAGTTCCAGGGAATGAGGGCAGGGAGGGCTTTTCTTTCTTTTGCTTTCCTTTTGAGAACTTTTGCTGACAAAAGAAAAAGAAACTTGGGGTCCTGTTCAGTAAGGGCCATTCTTGCAAGCTGGCAAGCCACTTAGCCCTGTGGAGACTAGGCCACATCCTGAATGGTTGTATCCACAGCAGGGCAGGGAAACAGGGGAATGGGTTTAAGAATGTGTTTCTTCTTTTTTCCCAGACAGAAATAAGGATGATGGGCCAGGTAGAGAAGGCAGCTCCCCCTACCCCGTCAGGAGAGGCAGGCGCTGGAGGTGAGGGACTGTGTGCACTTCAGCTCAGCTGGTTCTGGCTGAGGCCCCGAGGCAAGCTCGGCTTTCCAGTGGGTTCTGCCGCACTTCCCGGATGCTGTCCGAAGCCCATCGCTGCTGCTCCAGCTCCCTTTTCTAAGAAAGATTACACAGAGTTCTGCTTTTCATGGAAGGGTCTTTGGTTTTCAGGGTCAACACTGGGAACTGGGGTTCTGCTCAGCATCTAGACGACAGTGTCACCCTCCCACCAACTTCTGAGCTACAGTCGCTTCGTCAGAGGCAGGTTGCCCAGAGCAGCAGAGCTGGTGTGTTCCTGGACTCTAGTTCTCAGTGGATTCAGAAAAAGAGCAGTTTGGCATTTTGTGAGTTTGTTTGAGGGTGCTGGCCGATAATTCCAAAAAACCTTAGTTAGGCCAGATCACAGTATGTGAATGAGTTTTTTCAGCTTTTCTGTAGTTTACAACCTGGACTTTCTACACTAAGCATCTTACTCATAGAAGCTTTTAAGCACTACACCTCTTTAAGGTCACCTCTTTTAAGGAGACCTCTAGTGTGACCTTTATCTGACTGTCCTTCTCTCAGCCCAGAGAACTGGCCCTAGGTCTTTTCCAGAATTTCTTGTGTGTGTTGAACTCCCACAAACTCAGATCCACCATCGTGATCATCTTTAAGGCTCTCAGGTTTTAACAAAACCTACTATCACACCATCCTCCAGCTGCCTCAGTCTCAATTGAGCCAATATACTTTCTTTCCTTGAAAAAGAAGGGCACTGGGGCTTGGCTCTTAGTTTAAGGGGAGCTAGTGGAGATCTAGTCGGTAGACACCAACCAGCGCAGCTTTCCCTCAAACGTGGACTCCTCAGGGGCTGACCTGCTCTTAGCTTAGGTTGTGCTTTACTAGAGATGTAGCAGATAAGTTGGGCATCGCCATCATCCTGTAACTAGTCAACTTCCTTACACGGGGATGGAAGCAACCCCCAGGATATGCACGAAAGGCACAAGGAATCCCCTTCCCTTTGGCGGGACAACAAGACCGCAGAGGGAGTCTGGAAAGCACTGGCCTTGGAGGAGGGAGGGGAAGCTGCTGGGACCTTTCCCCTGTCACCCAGTTCAGCCTGGCTCTCTGCTGCCTACAGCCCTCTAGCACAGTAACATTTGCAGAATTGCAGATTTTTCCCCCAGATATTAGGAGGAAAGGGACTTTGGGGGTGGGGGGGTGGGGAAGGGGTTGTGGTGTTTTAAAAGCATAAGTTACCTGTTTGCACTGTTTTAAAATAGGAAAAAAATAGTGGGCGAGGTGAACATCAGATGTAAACTTGTGTGTTTTTATTTTGTCATGCTCTTGAGAATGTCTGACATTTGTAGTATACACCAGTGACACTTGATTCTCTGTTGCATAAGACACTCTATTTTTTTGGAAATGTTACTGTCCGAAAGCCTCTCCCCTCCCTTCTTTCCCGTGCACTTCCTTTGACCCTTGCTGTACTGATCAGCCAGGCAAAGCCATCCGTGAGCTAGAGTGAAACAGGCCCCTTTCCAAGCAGGCTCTGGGTGTCCCAAGCCAGTATGTGCCCTCTGGGTGACTGAGTGTGGCAGAGTCCCTGGCACTTTGTTTTGATGGTAGGCTCCCAGACCAGACTGCCGCAAGTGACCACGTTTCTCAGTGAGGGGTCAGCAGCCAGGAGCCAGGAGCCTGGGGTGAGTGAAGTATTGCCTTGGCTGTGGGAGCCGAGTTCTTATCCTCGTTACCGAAACTGTAGCCAGTTACAGTTTACTCAGGAAAACGGTAGATCAATTCAGCCATGGTAGTGCTGGTTGGCAGGGATTGGTAACCGAGAGAACCGCTCTTCAGCCAAAACCCAGACCTTGCCTGTCAGGAGACTGCCAGATGGGGGTTGGGGCTCTGTTTCTGGCAGGTGTATGCATGCCGGTGTTGGGAGGGCGCCACCACCCTGGCAAGCAGAAAGGGAAGAGCGATTCTCTTTCCCTCCCTTCCCCCACCCGTCACCATCACCAGAGTCCCAGGGGCTATGTGAGGTTTGAATTCTTCAAAAAACTGTTTTTGGTTTGTTTTTTTCCGGGGACTGATAAGTGCTTTAAGCCATGTCCATACCCACCCAGACCCCAGCGCAGTCATCCTCTGGTGTTTTCTGTTGACAGTGTTCTGTGTGTGCGGTCTTGTTTTGGCAGCTCATTTTAGCTGTAGTTATTTATATATATATATATATATATATATATATATATAATCTCGAGTGATGAATTGATCTTCTTTTTTCCCTAAGGGACATGGATTTTTTTTTCCTTGTGTTATCATTCTGCTTGTGAATAGCTGGAGCCAACCCGGGGCTGACGCACATAAGCTAGGGCTGCACGTGAGGAGAGAGCCAGCGGAGTGTCCTTGTCCCCAGCAGGCTGGCCTCCCTGAGGCGCTGAGCTTTTGAGTCCAAATCTTTGCAAGGCTCAAAACACTGCAGAACCTCTCCTCTCCTCCCCACGCCCTTGGCAGGGACTGGGCCAGCCCAACGTGCAGGTCTCCAGCCCCTCCCATCGCCATGGCAGAACAGGTACCTTTGGGGCATGGGGGCATCCCATGGGATGCTTGTACAATTGACACCTAGCCTTCTCTCCTTCCCCTCCTGGCCTCCCCCAAAATCACTCCCTAGGACACCCGAGCTGCTTGCCCAGGGTCCTGTTTCCCTGCTAACTCCAGAGAAGCATCCCAGGGCTTTGTGACAGTCTCTAATTCCCGTCCCTTCTTGTTAAGAATCATATTGTATAGTAGCTTTCAGACCATACAGTATTCATTGGGTTACTCCTATTATTATCAAGTAGCTGGAATTGTGAAGGTCGGAGTAGTTAGATCTTTAGCTTTTATTCCTTATTTTTTTGTATTACTCTCCATGTGTATAAATTATTGATCATGTTGCTGGCTTTTATAAACTCTAAGCGAAGGAGGAGCACTGCCTCGGCCTTTGCAAATGGTAATGAAGCACTGTTTTTAAATAAAAGAGAGAAACACCATTCTTTGGCCTGTGTCTCTTGGTCCTCTTTCCCTGATGCCTGAACCCGAGACTCAGATGTGCCCTGCATTTGACTCTCTAAGATGGAGAAAAAGAAGAAGGAAAACAGAGACTTCTCATGGAAGACCTGAGTGGTCATCAGCTGGAGGTAGATGAGGCAGCCGCTGGGGTCTGAGCTGAGCCCCGGCTCCACTGAAGTTCTGGAGCCCCCTCCCTCCCCATTTCCTCCCTCCTTCACTACCTCGTGAGCTCCATCCGCCTGACCTCTTGGGGGTCTGCCTCTCATACCGGCCTCATGCCTGTTTCCCAGTCTTCCTGCTGCACCTTTCCTTCTTCCTGTGCCTTCCTTGCCATCCCTCCAGTCCAGGCTTCTCAGCCAGTGACAGCGAAGGTGTGACATTCCCAGTTTCCCTTCTCCATAGACCTGCAACTCCTTCAACCCCTTAAGTCCCAAGTTTTCAATCCTGCAAATATTTCAGTGAAACTGACACAGGTACATTAAAATAGGTTATGAATCAGTCTAGAGCTTTCTATATAATTTGTTATCAATAACATTAATGATATTCAATGTGAATATTATCACTAATCATATACCTGCTATTTTCTCAAAATAGAACTCTAAACACACGACCATTTATATCAAAGTTACCATAAGTTGTGTATTTGTTGTCCAATTTAAGTTTTATTAAATGTTTCATAAATGAGATGATGAACTTAATGGGTTAATTCACCCTGCCAGGGTATGGCGGATCCCACTTCATGGAGACAGTGGGGGCCTTCAGATAGGATCTCCCTGAATGAACTTTTGCCACCAGCTCTGTAAACCTCCTTGTGTTCCACCCATTCTGATGGCGGGGCCTTCACCTCGCAGGTGGCCCCCTTCCCTGTTTTCTGTGCCTGCTCCCTACCACGCTTTGCCATCTTCTCTTGTGTAGTTGGCCTTTTCATTTCTAGAGTCCCATTAGCATCTAATCATGCTCAAATCTTCTTGAACATGTTTTAATTTGTTTTCAAGATCCCCAGTTCTCCTTCCTGCCACACTTCTGGAAGTTTCTGACTTGACCTGCAGCCTGCTGCCCCTGCCTTCTGCCTCCAGTATGGGGAGCAGCCCCTGTGATGACAGCTGACACTCTATCCAAATTGCTTGGCTGCAGAGTCCTCCTGGGCCCTTTCACTCATATGTCAGAAAACCCAAGTGGTGAGGATGGCCACCACTGAGGCCTCAGGCCTGCTGTGCCCTGAGTCAGGAAGCCCTTTGTCAGACCTGGGCTTCTAGGAGGAAGCATCAGATCCGGTACCTATGGTGTCGCCACTCACAAGTCGAGGAAGCCGAAGCACAGACTGCCGTGCCCACTAGCTGGGTAACGTATAAACAACAGAATTTCATTCTCACGGTGCCAGAGGCCAGTAAGTCCAAGGTCAGGGTACTGCAGACTCTGTGTCTGGCAAAGGCCTATTTCCTGGATCCACAGTCCATGGGTGGGAAGAGGCCGGCCAGCCCTCATGTTATAAGGCGCATTCCCAGGGCCATTCACCAGGGCATACCTAGTGACCTAATTAACTCCCAAAGGCCCTACTTCATATTGGGGTTAGGATTTCAACATACAAATTGCAAGAGGACAAACGTCGATGCTGCAGCAGTCCCCTAGGTCAGTAAGTGGAACAATTGCGGTAACTATGTTAAAGCAATAGGAAAAAAGAGAGAAAATGGTGTCAAGGAGAAGAGGAAGGGAGTGCCTTGCTACAGGGGTTGTGGTCCCACCTTCATCTTGCACAGGAGAGGCCAGTTTCCACTGTGACAATTCTTCCACCTGAGCCACGCCTGTCCGAGCAGCCCATCTCCATATCTTAGACACTCCTGAACCCCAGGACACTCACCAGGCTCCTCATCTTGAGTCCTCGGGGTGAATAGTGGCCTCCACTCCTGCCTCCTTCCACCTTAGGTCCTCCCCCCAGGCTGTGGCTCTGCCTTGAGGCCCCCCCAGCTGTCATCCTTGCACCCTGGGATTCTGCCTGCCCCTCAGAAGACCCTGGCTCACCCCCGTCCCCCACCCTCTTGGATTCCCTTCATAGCAGTCTGAAGGGCCGTGGCGTCACCCGGCCCACTGAAGTGTCTTGTCTCTTGTTCCGCTGGGTCTAATGGTGAGGAGCGGGCTTCAGGTAGGTTAGTGTGCCGCCTCCCCCCAGCAGCCCACTCTCCACACTCCCACATGATTCCCCTAAAAGCTATTTGCCAGTACTGTCCGTCTCCTCGAAACCCCGTCTTCCACAGTCTGAACTCCAAACGCCATATGGCACGGGCCACCTTGCCCACCTTCTTAAAGGCTCTGCCATGTCACCAGGTCTGTTCCCACACAAGCTGTGCCTCCCCTCCCCCACCCTGCCATCTGCAAGGCCCAGTTCAGGTGTCACTTCTTGGCCTCAGTCCCCTCCTGCCCTCCTTGGTTCTTCAGCACTTGTATTCCCCGGGGCACATCTGAACTGACCTTCTCTGGCATGTGCTGTGCTCGAGACGTTTTATTGGGTTGACTGGAACTCCTTCCACGTACGTCATTCCTCCTGCTCTGGCAGGCTGTAACGATGATGTTTTTTGTTGTTCAAATTCAGATCAGACTGGCATCCAGCCAGCTGTTTCACAGAGACATCAGTTACCAAGTGACCTACAGCCATGTTATTGGTACCTTTTCAAAATACAACCTGAAAAAAATGGAACTTCCAGTTAGGGAAGTTAGGTGATGGTGTCCATGTCTTCCCCCAACCAGGATGAGCCTCGGAAGAGCAAGGGCCTGACTGATCATGTCCAGAATCCTCAACCTCCCAGGGGCACCTGCTGGAGCTCCCTAATATAAATACACTGAAGGTTCCCCCAAAGTAAGTCTTGAACACAGCTGAGGGCACCCCAGGTAGAGACAGAGTGTGCATCTGAGATGAAACCACACACAGGCCCCAGAGGTTCAATTTAAAACATAAGGTGACTGCACGCTTTTTTGGGGGGGGGGCGGGAAGAGTACCAGGGATTGAACTCGGGGGCACTCGACCACTGAGCCACATCCCAGCCTAATTTTTTATTTTGTTTAGAGACAGGGTCTCACTGAGTGGCTTAGCACCTCACTGTTGCTGAAGCTGGCTTTGAACTTGCGATCCTCCTGCCCCAGCCTCCCGAACCGCTGAGATTACAGGCATGGGTCACTGTACCTGGCAATCGCACGTGCTTTGAGATAAGGGTCCAGTGGTGCCTCTGCAAGAGGCACTTGGGAGCAGCCCACCTCTGCACATTCCCAAGCTACCACAGAGCTTGTGAAGACAACCAGCGATGTATGTTTGGGCTTGGGGAGGACCGTCTGGGAAGGAGTCCCTGCAGGACCTCTGCTCTCTCTCCACCACAGAAGCCACTTGCTCTTGGCCAAGTCTCTGCCTCTTTGCCCACAGCCTCGCCATCTGAGGCATGTGAGGCTAGAATAGATGTTCTGTGGGATCCTCCCAATATAGAAGTACTGATTCCATAGCGTTGATAACAGAATTCATCTCTCCAGGTGAAAATCACCACTAAACAGTGCTCAGTCCCCACCCTGAGACGAGGGCCATGCCTTCCATCCACTGGAGCAGAGTCCCTTCTTCCTGGAGCACATGCACTGCAGGCACCCTGGGCCCCTCAGGAAGCCCACAGGAGCAAGCACGCTGACAGTTTCACCAGTGGAACCAGTGCTGGCACCCGCTGGGCACAGTGGTGCACACCTGTAATCCCAGCAGCTCAGGAGGCTGAGGCCAGAGGATCAAAGCCAGCCTCAGCAACTTATCGAGGCCCTATGAACTCAGTGAGACCTGTCTCTAAATAAAATACAAAATAGGCTGGGATGTGGCTCAGTGGTTGAGGGCCCCTGAATTCAATCCCCGGTAACCCTCCAAAAAACAAAAACAAAAGTAGCTGGCACTCTGCAGTAGCTTGTCAGGTCAACGATGCCTCAGTTTTGGAAACTACTGGAAAGTACTTTGGAGCCTCTCAGCCAGAGGTGAAAATCAGAATCTCATTTACACACCCAGATGCACACCCAGAAGAGGACCAGACTCACCTGGCCCAAGTGGTACCTTTACCTCTGGATTGTGGGAAAAGGCCAAAGATGATCCCAAGGTGCCTGCCTGGAAGTCACCATGCTCAGTGAGTTGGGGACCCTGACATTTTCTCCAGGTTTCCTGAAGGTTAAGAACAGAAAAGCGCTTTGTTTTCGAACCAGGGATGAAACCCAGGGTGCTTTCTCTCTGAGCAGCATCCCCAGTCCTTTTGATTTTGATTTTGAGACAGAGTCTCACTAAGTTTGTTGTTGAGGGTCCCTCCGAATTGCTGGGCGTGGCCTCGAATTTGCCATCATCTCTCTGTCAGCCTCCAGAGTCACTGGGATTCCAGGCATGTACCACTGAGCCTGGTCGGAAAAGCTCATCTTAAAGCAGCTGGGATCAGTGTCCTTAAGCAGGTGCATGGGCTGTAGCAAGGTTCCACCTGGCACTGTGATGGCCTGGGCTCGGGGAGGACATGGGAGCTCTCTGTACCTGCCATGCAGTTCCACTCTAAAAACATAGCCTACTGTGCTGATGTAGAGGAGGGGCAGCTCAACTGTCACGGGCTGGTGGGAACAGTCAAGGCTCAGGGGTCGGGGCCCCTCCCGGAGCACTCTGTTCTCGGATTCTCTCCCTCTCTGGGGAAGCCTCCTGCTGTCTGGGAGCAAAGCTCTCGAAGGCACTTAAAAAGTTAATATGTGGCTGGATGCAGTGGTGCATGCCTGTAATCCCAGAGACTCAGTAGGCTGAGGCAGGAGGATCACAAGTTTGAGGCTAGCCTCAGTAACTTAGTGACACCCTGTCTCAAAATAAAAAGGGCTGGGTGTAGCTTACAGGCAGAGCACTCACTCTAAGTTCAATATGTAAAGAGTATGGACCATAATCTCAAAGACCCATTCTCGAATACCAGGATCACAAGTCCTGAAGGATTAAAATTGTGAAAGATCA